GTGTGTGTGTATGGCACAACGTCAGGTGTCGCTGCCACGTGGCACTACCGCACTTCATGTTACGCTCTCCACCCATCCTCCACGGTACATGCTGCACCCTTAGCCGGGGGGCGAATACATAATACATAATTCATGCCTTGAAAGCCGCCAATGCAAAAAGGTGCTTCGCTTGACATAAACTGCCAATTCATATGAAAAACAACAACCACGAGCTTTACACACTTAAAGTGTGCTTAGTTAGGGCTTGGCATGGCACACGCCCTCACTAAATTATGCATGAAGTGCGTGTTGCAGAATTTCACCCAAAACTACAAGTATGTAGGCAGCGGCAGTGTTGGCTGTGCAAAAATGTGTTGCCTACTTTGCAGCGCACAGCTAAATGGTGTACGCCGATGTGCTTTAGGGTGACCATTTTTAGCTAGCATACAAAAAACGTAATAATAATAATAATTCGTTAACATTTCAATTATTAGGATCATAAAATACAATTTATTGTAATTATTTTAACATTAACATTTCAATTATTAGGATCATAAAATACAATTTATTGTAATTATTTTTTATTACAAATTAAACAAAGAAAAATTCAAAATAAGGAAATTTAACTTAAATTTCAATAAAAAAAAGTTTTTTAATTACATTAAGCTACTTTTTTTTAATACTACTTCTATTATTAAATATAAATAAATATATGTAAAAAAACAAGAAATAAATGAGTTCAAGACTGAAAAGGACCAACAGAAGGCTGATAATATGAATTAACATACATAAGTATTCATTTATTTACCCATGAATTTCTTGTTTCGAATAAAAACGTTTAAAAAAATTAAATATGTATATACTCGAAAGAAGTGTGAATATGTCAAATGACTTTTAATCTAGCTTCTTGATATTTTTCGTTGCTTCAATTTCAATAAATAATATATATTTTTTTAATTTTCTACAACATTTTTGCTTTCCTTTAACATTTTTCTAAGCCACTTAAATTTTCATATTTGAAAACGTTGGTCACTCTATTTAGTATTGGTATGCTTTTTATCTCTCACTTCCCGTCCTTCTTTTTGTTATGATTATGCTAAAAATGTTCCTAGTAATCGTAATTTATTGGCTTATGAACTGAATTTTATATTGTTGTTAACTGATCGATGTTGTTGCTGTATATCTGGATTAGCTGTACCGCGTGGCGTTTATTGTGCTTGTCTAGACGGCTGAAGGGCGACAGCAATTAGGTTAATTGCTTGCGGAGTTAATGCTTTGTTTAGTGGCTGAAAGTTATATGTGTGGAAGTTTGCAATGCGCATAAAAGAAAGGAAATATAAATAGAGGATCAGCTTTCCTCATAATTACGTTAATGGAAAAGCTATTAAAATTAATGAATTGCTTTTAAAAGTTTGAAGTAAACCAGGACTTCTTTTATATTAATACTAGCTGAAGACTTGACTGTGCAGCCATGTCTTTGCGTATTGTAGTAATTAAAGCTTTTTTAATATGTTTTTTTTTATGCTCTTTTAAGCTGCATAAATAATGTAAATAAAAACTCAGCCAAAATTGATAGACTGAACTCTGTAAATGGACTTAAATGTGATAAGTCGTTGGCATCGCTTTATCAGACGAAACGGCAAACAAAAAGTGCTTAAAAATTAAAATAAAGCCAAGAAAAGTAAACGAAATACCTGCGCTAATGTAATTGCATGTGTGTGAGTATACGGGTAGCTGAAAATGAAACCAACGGCCCTGAATGATTAATGCGCACAGCGAACAGACAAACAGACAAAGAAAGGCAACCGACGATGTTGCATTCATTGTCTCTGGCATTGCGTGCCGAGTGGCAATTATTTGTGCTGCGGCGTGAGCAGAAATGGAACAAATAAAGTAAAAATGAAATAAAAATAAAAGGCAATTGGCCAGGCAGAAAAAAAACACATATAATGTACATACAAGTATATACTTGCGAGCATGTGTGTATGTATTTCGGGCACATAAGTTGCATAAACGAAGAACCAAGTGCTACTCCACACGTAATAAGCTCGAGCAATGCAAAGACATACCATCTTGGCTAGGGATGTGTTCATAAAATGAATTCAATAAATAATTGTATTACTGCATTGCTAAGATAATATTTTATTCAGTTGATTATATTTACATCTATACGTTAATTTGTTTGATTTGTGGAATCGTGCTTTGAAATATTGGCATGATTTATTATTTTATAACTGATTATCATTTCTTTAAATTTCATTTTAATTTGGTGTATTAAAAGACTAAACAGGATAAAGAGTCAAGTCTTCTAAGTCATGTTCATCTATATGACATGTTTAAGGTAAAAAAGTTTATAAATAATGTTTGTTATAAACGAATTGCACAGATATTTAAAATTTGTCAAAAATGTGAACATTTTCTGTTCTATATTCTATTCAAATGAATTTATAAATATGGGTATAATTAGGGAAGCAGATATTTTCTTAAGCGCATTTTAAAATTTGAACAAATTGTCTCAATCGTATTAACTGCATTTTAAAGCTAAAATGTTTTTATAAATTTTTAATAATATTATATTTAATTTTGTCCTCATCTCTTTATTCTTAACTCTTATTTTAATTAAAATACTTTAGATAGACAATAGTATCTCCTAAGATTACTGGACTTCAGACGCACGCTCACGATACGAACTCACGTCCATTCCTATTGGAAATAGACAGAGAGAGGGAGGGAGAGAGAGTGCTGAATCGGGTTAGCAATTGACTGGCTTAGTGCCCGAGTTAAAGAGTCAGGTTGCGAGGTTGAGGATAAAAACAACTGACGCCATAATTAACTCACTCACTGTCTGTCTCTGTCTAAATGTCCTGGCAGGCTGTCTAACTGCCTTTTCAGGTCGTTGCAACTACTTTCAACTGTCATGGGTTGAACGGCGAATTGGTCGACGCGTCGTGCTGTCTCGGCAACTTTTGTAGCGAGCTTAACCCAATTTATAGCAGTGTGGAACGAATTATATTTAAAATGTCCTTTCTGTTTGCCTTGCACTCGAGTAGCGACTGCTTAAATCGATACGAAATTACTTGAACGCGTTTCTCTTTGTCATAGCCATAAAATAGAAGGCACACATACTTATAAGTGTGGTTGCAATAAATGCATGTACATACTCGTAAGTAGTAACAATTGGCCATTAGTATGGATTTTTTGTTCGTTCGTGTGTTGCTAGTTGGTTGGTACTTGCAACCCTGGGACTGCAACATTGTGTGGCGCAATTATCAAATGGTCGGAGGACATAACTGCCATTGCTGCATTGAAATGCGACAACCACATTTTGGCATTTTGGCTTGGCGCCCAACACGAACGGACCAACTGACTAACTGACTAACTGACTAACTGACTGAACGACTAGCTGGCCAAATGTTTGACTGAGTGGGTGGCTGAGCTGGCAAGGGCCAAGAGTTGGCCCTCAGCGTTGCGCGTGGCTTAAATGAAAATGTTTGCATCTGACAATTAAAAGCACATACGAATATGTGTGAGTATGTATGTGTGTGTGCGTTTTAATAATTGTTTTGCTTTCTGTGACAATTTTAAATTGTTATTGTCATGACATTTCAATTGTTATGGATATTTGATGGCTGCTGAAAGGCGTCTGCATTGCTCAAATCATTCTGAACAATTGAGAACTAGTTAGTAAGTGCGAAAAAATTTAAATTTAAATGCTTTATATTTATATTAATTTTAATGAAACATGCTTTTCTTTAAGTTAACTATAAGGATCATTATTTTGTTCAAATATTTAAATTACAAAGTATGGGTCGACTTTTATATTTGTCCAATCTCTGTCTACATATTAAGGTTTTGTCTTGTAACCAGGCATGCTTCTGACAGCATTTATAAAATAAATGGAGAACTCAAATATGTCCTATACAGTATTAATTATTTGGCTAACACAAAGCTCCACTTCCATAGTATATGTTTGCATTCTCAGTTTTGTTTTATTTCTTGTTTCTTTCAAGGGTATCGCGATAATGGTTTTAATTGAAAAACGTGTCATGTCGTGCCATATCCAAATAAAAGGATTTGAAAGTCAGAAAATTTAGCCCGAACCCTTTTTGTAAAGTAAAACTATGTAATTAAATAAATAACGTGTTACAACATATATATATTATTACAGGATAAATAATTTGGCCTTTTTCCATTTAGGTTATTCATTTAAAAACAAACCAATTGTAATTGGTTGTCCTCTGATCGATTATTTCAAAGTTGATGAAAACGTGACTGTTATTGTTACCCATTGAATGAAAACAAATATGAATATAAGAAACAGCACACTGACGAAAAATACAAATCGAAGGATCAAAATATTTTTGAATTCGGATTCATTCAATACAAATAAATTTAACAGAGAAAGAGCACACCTTTCTTAATAATATTGCTTTTGAACTAATCTGAATATAGTCTTTTCCATAGTCTTTGAAGTCTGTAAATTTTTGCGGAGTCTGTAGGAATGGTAGGACATTCTTCAGTCGTTTTCATTGGAAATTGTTTTCAATAAAACAAAATAAAAATTTGAAATATAGTAATAAAATTTAGAATATATATTAATGTATTAATTTATTTAACAAATGAACTTCAAAATAATTGTTGTGCTGAGTTTAATTGAAATTATTTAGGTATGGGTATTATTTGAAGACTAATTTTCAAAATCTGATTCACATCATAAGTGTAAATAACATTTTATTTCATTCTATGGCAGTTTTACGAATTGGTGCATCAATAAATTTTTTACACTCATAGAAAAAGAGTTGAACAATAAATAACTTAAAAACTTTTCAAATATATTTGTAGAAAGCTAAGAAAAATTTATTGCGGTATCCATTCATTTATACTTGTATTATGTATTTAAGTTAGTTTTTAGCTCAAGTTTCCTTTTATATTTATGAGCTCACACATACAACATTCTACATATAAAAGATTTATTAATTAACTATAATTGCCTTCTCTTTGCTTGCTTTTCATTTCAGCAGCTCCATTCGGAGTATCGGAGCACTTATCGTTGGCATGAATTTACGGGCAATTCAAGGCCAGAGGTTGTGCGACGAGCGCCACAGCCAAATCCGAGTCAATTTGTTGGTTCGTATTCTATACCTCAGTCTTAACATTTGAATTATTGAGCACAATATATATTTTGGCACATACGGTTCCATCTATCGACAGGTCCAACGAATGAGCCACCATTGCCGCGCCGGAAAAAATGTCCAGAATTAGCATATAAATCGCACGAGTTTATTATAGGATCGGAATATACAGATGCACGCCGAGATGCGAGCGCCCATCGCCTGGCGAGGGTAAGTTGCCAAAGCATTCATATTGCGTCGTCCTTCGAGGACATTGTGCAAAAAGATTGTCGAGGGTAAAGCACTCAAAGCACTCAAAACATCAGATGTCATTGAGCTGAGTGCCACGCATATCGAGACATATGTTTACGTTTATATAGTATGCCCAGGAATTGAATATGCCTTAGGCTGAATGATGGAAAACATATTAAGGATACAGATAGCATGAAATTTGTAATATGTATTGGTTTCTTTTTTTTGGAAGGGTTTCATATGTGATATATAAATAAAGGATATAGATTTAAAAAAATATGTGATACAAATAATAGTGTTTAAGAGGATGACTAAAATCAGTTGATGTTGCAGGGAATTGTGCATAGGATTTAGATGAGGGCTAATACTTATTGTACGAGTATTACTTGTAAAAATATTTGTTTCTTTTCTTCAAAAGTTGTTGCTTTCCAAAATAGCTATGAAATGATATGAGCCTTGTTTCTATGTATTGGTATTTGTTCAAAGACAAACAACAAATATAATTGTGAGAAATTCCATTCTTCAAAGGCTTACTTTTCTACATATCTGCTCTCTTGTTTTTTTTTAACATTAAACTACTAGTCATAGTTATATTGAACACAAAATTTTCTAGATCTGTTATGATAGAGTCGAAGATAAAAAGATAAATATGTCTAAATAATTTGCTGCGACTTTCCAATTGTTGTTTGTTTGTTAATTTGTTGCAACTATTTTTGGGCTTAAGCTGAAAACCAAATGCGTAGCATTAGGTTTCTTTAAAATTAGATGCGTCGTAGTCACGTGCCAAACGCATTTGTATTTGCTTAGCTGCTGAGTGCGTGTGTGTGCATGACATATGCATATGCGAGTATATAGTATACTATATATACATATGTCTATACAATTTATGTGTGCAACTGAAAATGATGAAGCAGAGCTTTTGTGAGCACCACGCGCATAAAAATGCACGCCCTGTTGACACATAAAGTGCCAGACTGCGTAGGAAAAATAAAAAATAAAGAGAAATAAAAGTTGTACGCAGTGCTGCAAATATGTTCAGAGGCAGATTTCTATGCATCATGCATATGCATATTTGCAGTGCAAAGAATTTTTTAGGTATTATTTTAAAATGTTTTGTGCGGCTTTACGCCAAGCTGGGCATTGAGGTTAATTCGTTTATGTGACGCCATTGACGGTAACAGCGGCTGGATGTTGGCCATAAATTTTGTACCACAGTCAGTGGTTTCAAATAAACCGCACTAGGAAATATGCTCGTATAACCAAAGAAATGGGTGCTTGTAGGTGAAAAGCATGTGGTCTCTGTGACTAATTAATAATGCGAATACAGCGGCACATGTTGCGCAAGGACATCTCCCTCCATCTCACATAAGTGAGTGTTATTGTGTGCGTGTGTGCGTCTGTGTGTGTGTGTGTGTGTGGGGAAGTGGAAGTGTGTGTACTATCACAATACATAATTAATTGAGTTCATTCTGCTCATTGTCATTGCGCTCAGGTGCCAAGGCGTAGCATGCAGCATACGGTGTCTGCTTAATACTGATGAGTTGCTAATTAAGTGCGCACACTTCATATTGATTAATGATATATACTAATTATATTGAGGAATTCAATTCGCTGAACTGCCAATTTCTATTCTAAATATGATGGGACAAAATTGTAAAGCTTTTTTTCAATCAAATTTGTTTTAGAATCCCAAATGATCTGGCGAATAAAACTCTTTTAATAAGATTATTTTAAACTAGCTTAACAGGCAAATAATATGAAAATAACGACTAAAAGCAACACAAATCTTATACCTAAATGTAATTTTCTTATATAACAAACTTATTTAAAGTCATTTTTCCAAGCATGCTTGTCAAATAACACAGATTTGTGTGCAAATTTTTGGCATGTCTAACAATATATTAAGCCAGTTTAAATTTTTGTATTGTAAGAATTATTCGGCACAAACTAAATCCTAAAAGTATTATTGATTAAATGGTTGGTTTCTATTCAACGGGAATTTCTTTCGCGTCAAGAAAGTGAACTGATTTTGTTTTCGCCCAATTTTTTTATTTTGTAAAAGCATTGTCGCAGACTGGGAAAATTCCCAAGGAAAGCAATGAAATTTAAATAATACAAAAAATTCCAAAAAATTTAGATAAAGAAGAAATTGAGAATTGGCCATTGGTCGTGGCTTTTCGCCATGCTGTTTTCCGCGCCTCTTGCCTCTACGCGGAAAGCCACGGAAAAAGTTGCCTGCACAAATCCGGTTGCGTAAATCCAGCTGAAATAAAAAATATGTTTGCGGTCTTAAAACATTTGCATTGTGATTTGCGGTCGATAGTTTTTAATTCCAGTCAGCACGAAAGTAAAAAAAAAAAAACAACAGGTATTTATGGCTTTTATATTTTTGTGTTGACGTGTGGATTGGAAAAAGTTAAAATAATGGTGTTCACTTCGACAAGCATTTTGTAAAGGTTTTAATTGAATTGAATTTTCAAACAAAGTAATGCCTTAATAAAAAATGTTTTCTCTTGTAGTCGGAGGAGCGAGGCACGCCTTCGCGTCGCAGCAAATCGGAAGGACCACCCGTTGTGCCCAATGGACGCGCCTATCCCATTGCAACGGAGGTCGATGGAACCAGAAGTAAACAGGTACAAAATTGTCAAATACATGCTACATAGTGTACACAACTAACTGTTAATTATACGAACTAACACTCATGTATGTATGTACGATATGTATGTATTAAGTATGCCTGCAGTTATGCTATGCAAAATGTTAATTAAGTTTTAAGCATCTCATTTGTGTGTGTATGTATTTAAACATTTATGAATTATGCGACAGCATCTATTTAAAGCACTTTAAATTCTACGAAAATGCTGTACCTTTTAAACTGAATCCTTAATAACCAAAGTACGTATTTCTACAAGCGTCTCTGGCTTAGATGTGGGTACAAGTTGAAGCATCAACGCCAACGCCAACGCCCTTTTGAATGCATCAAAGCAGCATCCTTCCCTTTTGCAGGATTTTGTGCCTCAATGGCGCCTTGTCACTGATCGAAGATAGAGCGCGCAACAATTTCTAAAAGCGCTGTCCGAGCCACACCCAACAGCACCACCGCATCCTGCATCGCACCACTCCAGTTCACATTTATTGGCAATTTTCTATGGCGCTTCATTGTGGCATTGTGTGTGTGCGCCTGTCTGTGACTTGTCATATTTCACAAATGTCGTTACATTTGTAGCTCGTCTCGGTATATGTATCTGGATTATGTGAACACGCGGCGTATGTGCAATTTATGCATGTTCGTACACATGTCGAAATATCATTGAGCTGGCAGCCAGACCGCCAGTCGGAAAAACGCTCAGCCACTCAGGCAGCAGTCCGTGAGGGAAAGCAGACAGACAAACACTCGACCTGAATGTAAATTTTTAATCTGCAAAACTCTTCAGCATTCGCATATGGTTGGCATTATGATTGCGGATTGATTTTCTTTTATTTCATTTCGTTTCATCATTCTTTTGTAATTGTTTTTTGATGTGATTGTGTGTGTGTGATTTATAGTGTAATTGATAAGCATGTAAGCTCAAGCGCTCATTCATTAAAGTAATCCAATTCTGAATATAAAAAACTACAAAAATTTGTATTTTGAAATTTCCGCATGCATTTAAATCGCATCGATATTGAACTTAACATCAATAGTTTTCCTCATTGATAGCGAAGATGATTTTCCTTAACTCATTAGTGATGACCTTAGAAATTAGGAAATTTATTTTCGACATTAAATAGGATTTATTGAAAAACTATAAGAAAAGTAAAGTGTTTGGTAAATATGAGGAAAATTGTAAGTTAAAAGTTGTGGACAGAAAATATTTGTCGTATATGGAAAAAGAAAAGGTCTTGATTTCATTTGCGGGTTTACTTAAAAAAGGATGAATTGTAAAACAGTCTTAAAAGGTTGCATTTTTACAGAGATGTTTGCAAAACAGAACTTATAGCTTACTATTATTAGTTCCAACTATGCCTAATTGTTACTTTACTGGAAGTTAAATGCCAGTTTTTTTAGTTTAACAAGTTTAAGTCTTGATTGGAAAAATAATTTGGCAAATTTCACCTTCCAATATTTCACGAATATTCGATAATTTAACATACTCTTACAGTTCGTTTTCTTTTTCATTTGTGATGAACTGAGAAGGTGCAAACAAATATCTTTAAAAATTGTGTAGACAAACATAAAAGTCTTCTTATCTTCCATTCCTATACTCCGTATATTTAATAAACTCTCTGAGATTAACAGAAATATTCGAAATTTTTTTCTATTATGAACGAAAACCCTTTTTGTCGTTGTTGATTAGAGTAAACAATTAGTGGAACAAAAGATTTTAATAAATAGATTCATTCTCGACTATTCATATAATTTATAAGCAAACTGTGTTTATACTAGAATTGTGATATCTTTGACTTTACTTTTTCATCTTTAATATTTACCCTAAGATATAATGTAATCGAAAAGTTATACATTTGAAAGTTAGATAATATCTCCGCATGTCTAATACGAGTTTATCATACATTTTAATTCATATCTCAATGGCTTTATAAGTATGTATATTAAAGTATGTAGTATGAACAACTATTTTAAGCTAAATTCTAAGCAATATTTAAATAATTCAGTACAAAGAATTGTACAATATAATATAATAATATTATTAAGTATTGCATGATTAGTTTTCTGATTTGAAAACAATAGAATCAATTAGTTATACATATCAAAATTTACAAAAAGTACTTGTATTGTGTGTATTTCTTCTCTTTCTTTCCGTTTCTTCCATTTTCTCGTACTAACATGCGCGCTCTCTCTCTCTCCGTCTCCGTATCTTTCTCTGTTAACTTTATTCTCTGATCTCCAACTCCCATTTATATTAATTATTATGTGTAATTGTTGTATCTACTAATTTCATGTATTGATACCGCTCATGCTAACATTGATTGAAATATATATATTTGTATACTTATCTTTACACTCAACGCGCAAATGCATACTCTCTCTTTTTCTCTTTCTCTCTCTCTCTCTCTCTTGTTTGTTTCTCGTTCCTCTCGTGATTTTGCTCTTCTCTCTTGCAGGCGGGTGAGTCAAATGGCCTATTCAAAAAGACCATCACAAAATTGAGCACAGAGTATCGCCTGCAATTCGTTTGGCCCAATGTCCGACGCCTTAAGGGCAGCGACTCAAATGTGGCGGCGGCGGGGCAAACGACAACGGCGCGGGCGGCGGCCGGCGATTACCCAAGAAAGTCAATATCATTGGGTGCGATCCGATCGCAGCAGACCGCGCACAGTCACACACATCAAACGATGGGTGCAGGGTTGCCAACGGTGCATAAAAAACGTACAACAAATCAGAAAGAAGGTGCGACAACAAATTGTCGTCGCTAAGCATTAAAATAAAAAAACAAAACAATACATTTCCTCTTAGCGCATAGTATTTTTTACTAAAATTTACTAAAAAAAAATATCAAACAAACAAAACCAAAAAGTACTAAAATGAAATTTCATTTCTTTTCTAAATAATTTGTTTTATATATGTACCAAGTACTTATTACTAAACTTTTAAAGTTAAACAAGAAGAATTGCGTACATTTTGTTTACTAACCTTTTCTCAAAGTAAATGTTGAGCGCGCAATTTTATAAAATCAATTTTCATTTGTTTATTTCAAACCGATATAAATTTGTGCAGTGGCGGCAGCATTGAGCTCAATTAGCAAACCAAACTAAATTCCATATAAGTATCTTGAACTTGAACTAAAGCGTTGAATAGTGTTGGTAAATTATTGTAGCCTAAAGTTTTTCTACTACTACTCATCACTGCCACTCGCTAAGAAAGCTAATATATTTGCCAAATCAAAAATCAAGTTTTTTATGTACACGTCGTCGTAAATTTTGCTTTTCATATTATGAAAAAAAAAGCCAAAAACCAAAATATAAACATACTCACTAGTTGTAAAATAAAATCAAAATAATAAAACTTTAGTGCACAGTGTTAGGAAATCTGTGCACTGAAGTTGAGCTTATAACACATTTTCGATAAGTTTCTTGAAAAAATTTGTTTCTTCGTCTTATTTGTTTTTTTTTTTGTACTACACTTTTTAAAAAACTTAATTTTGTTTTCAACTTAAGCAACTATTTTGAGTTGACGCTTTTACAATTATAGTTTGATGCAATTTTTACTCTTTATAAAAGTCTAAAATTCTATTTTATATAGAACGAAATTATGCTAAATTCCTTACGACAAGTTGTTGTTCTTATCAAAACGATAAAAAACATACAAGATAACTTTTTAGCCAAAAGCTGACGTAAGTGTTGAACTAAATTTCATTTGTATTAGTTCTAAACATGGTAAATTACCTAAAACAAATACATTTTCCTTTTGGTTGGTTTCCGTTGATGCTACTCGTAAAAACTAAACGCGTAAAATTGTATTGATCGTTGAGTGATGTGATTAAACTTGAATTGACGTAAATCATTAAGAATTTATGGTATGTCCTTGACCAACAATATGTGAGTGTGTGTATGAGTCTGTGTATGTCAATGCAATTTTACGCAAACGATTTTATAGCAAAGTGTAGTGTGAGCATGTGGTCGCAGGTTATGTGAAACCTTTGTTTTCATTTCAATATAAGTGTAGGAGTTCTTGGCTTTAGTTTCGTTGCATGACTGAATCGAATAACAAATATCAATGGAATTAGTTACATACTACATTGTTCGTTACGTTCATCATTAAACAACATTACATCGATCGTACATGATATAGCAATAAAAATACATTTACATGTCTGGATTAGTTCAAATGTGGTTAAGGAACTGCAAACAATTCAAGAGACTAACTTTCTTCATACTTTTAGAAAACATTCCCTTTGTGATACACAGGTTTGTCAATAGAATACACATAAGTATGTTAATGAAATAAATTATTGAGTGAATTATGAATAAATGGACAAAGTAATACAGATTTGAGTTTCCAAAGAAAATGTTCGATTTAATACATTGAGAGTATTCTTCATCAGTTAGTGTAGACATTCTTTTTCCCACATGCCGTAAATAGTTTATTTAAATAGCTTCAATATAATAGCACCTAACAAGTTCAGATATTAAGGTTTTCAAAAATAATAGATTCTTAGAATCTGTATTCGAATCAGGCTACGGAAAATAGTCTCTTTAGAAGTTTTTAATACTTTATAGCCCATTTCAAGTCTAATATTTCTCTAGCAGCTCTTAGGGCCTTAATATTTAATCAAGAAAAGCTGCAAAAACACCATAAAAGTGTTCTTCTTCATACTTATAACATATCTGCAAAGCGTTCTTATTATTACTGAAAGGTATTGAGAAACGAATAAAGAAATCATTTGAATGAAGAAGCTTCAAGCAATTTGGATAAAATGTTGTGGTTAGGTTTGAAATATATTTAGTACTATCATTGGTGACCAACACCAGTGCTCAGAAACAGCCAAAATGGCACTAAAAATTAGCAGTACATAAAAATAAAAATGGCTGTGATTTTGATTTAAGTATGTATGAAGAAAAACAGAAGAATATGTAAGGGTGTACAAAAATAACTACAAGTATTTATGATTCCTCTGGAAATATTTACGATATTATTGTCCCTATTTAATATTTTGTATTAGCTAGCGAATACTCTCATTGTAAGATTTCTTCTATCTACGATTTGTCAGTTATAGTACATAGCATTCAAATAAGTAGCAGCTTAAGAATATTTTCACGATCCACCACAACTGCAAAATACTTGCAGTTCGAGCACAGTGCATAGTTGGTAAGGCAATCAAAACGTAAGCCAAATATAAAGTTTTATATACCTATCTGCATATTCAATTGCTGCCTCATCGAACGCAAACATAAAATAGAAGAACTCAATCCATTGCAAAAGCTTTTGTCTTGCGTTTGTGCCTCCTCGCTAAAAGCTTAAGAAGCTTCATAGTATAGCCTGAAATAAATATTGGCTGTAGTGCATTTCAAAATCAAATAAAAGCAATAGACAAAAAAAAAAAAAATGATATTACACTACGCTGCATACTCGTACAACTCAATGATTATAATTTCAAATTTCTCAAATAAAATAAAAATTGGTTTGAATTTCGTTCTATATTTGCAAAAGTGCCTCAAATTACTTAAAAACCAACCGAACACGCTTCAACAAAATTCAACAACTTTTTCTTCAATTTTAGTTTCAATTTCAACTCAATGCCACCAATCACACGAACAAAACCAAAAACTTGATTGATTGAAGCAGAAAACAAAATAAAAAAAAAACTGCCTCTGCTATTCATTTAAAAAAAAGTTCCGATCAACATTTCAACATTTTCTTTGCTCTCCAATTCTAATCAACACTAACCACCACCCACACACCAGCCACACTAACCACTGAACCACCTAACCAAGCGCTGCTTTTCGCTCATTTATTTGCTGTATAAATACTCACCTCTAAGTTCAAACTTAGCCGTAATTCAAAAACACTTTGCAAAGTTTATTCTGACCACTTTTTGGTTTCTTTTTATAAACAACAACAGCAACTTTTTCCCCTTTAGTTACCTACTAAAAGAAATGCAAATTAACAATTATATTTTCATTATGAACTCTTATGTAAATGAATAACAAACGAACAAATTATTAACAATAATGAATAACAATAATGAATTGTTGTATGCCTTGTATATTGCCTTGTATTAAAGTTTCAATCTGTGTGCTTTCAGCTACTCTACATGAGTTGGAGCCTTTGGTTAGCGATACGGATGATAGAAAAACACACGAGAAGTATGAAATGCATTTAATTATGTTTCTTACCATTCATCTTTGTACATATAAATTAATTAATTGAATATCATGCTCACGAGCTTCTCAACCATGCCCATCATATAGACGCTGCCAGCCATCGATAGCGATGTCCATGTCTAATATATGTGTCTCCATTATAGTCGTAGCCAATTCAACTCAATCGATGTCATTTAGTCTAACAGTCTCTAACATCACCCCAGCCATAGCCATATAATACATTCGTTGCATGCAACGCGACGCACCTGCAACTCACATTTAAAATTCGTTTAGAAATGCTCTTTTTTAACATTCCATTTCCCCTTTCGTTAACCTGATTGAAAATCTATTTCTGTTGTATTTTGTATGTGTGTTTGTGTGCTTCTCTTCTCTTTTTTTTTTGATCCAACTGCAACTCGCCCATCCAATCAACAGGCAAGTAACTATTGTGGAGCGTAAGATTGCGGCACGTCCTTTCTCGCAAACAATCGATCAGGAGCGTCTGAATCACTTCATCACGAAAAGGGAGAACTTTGGCTTCGCCGATGCCAAGGATGAGTTGGACAATAAGCACCAGCCACACCAGCAGGCCGGTGGTCAGTTGGTGGTCATGAATGGCACCGCACCGCCGCAATCGAAACCGAACTTGGATTTGTGGTTCAAAGAGATGGTTGAGATGCGCAAGAAGGCCGGCGAGTATAAGGTGAGTAGCCACTGTCATGACTAAATAAAAATGCATAAAAGCATAAGAAGCTTGGGATACTAAGCGGATTTTCAACGGTTTCACTCACTAAAATGCGAAAAAACTACTCTTCAGAGATGATGGCAGTGATAGACTAGTACGAATACTAATCGAGTATCGAATAAGAGAAAATTCAAGATAAGTAAGAAAGTGAACAACAAAGAGAAGACTTGGTAAATAATGAAAATTTATATAGAAGCAACTTTGACCTTAGAGATAAAATAAATATTAATATACAAACCTTTCTTCAGAAGAATAAATAGTTAGTTAATGAGAGTTACATATTCGATAACAATCTTTGTAGCCAAAATAAAAGATTCATTCAACATGTTAAGCTATCATGCGATCATTTATAAATATTTCCATAACATACTTCCGTTTTTAGTGTCGCGGCTGGGGCATAGAAATTGATCCCGAATTGTATAAGAAACAGAGGGATCTTTGGGATCAGGTTTCAAAGCGTAGCTCGCTATCAGCACTGTCTTTAGCTACTACCGTGCACAGGCAAGTAAAATCAAATTAGCTATGCCATATATAATTAACTAAATTTGTTATCAACTTAGACCTATAACCAAGGAGGAGAAGGAGCAGGAGAATAATAAGAAATCCACGCCATTGCAAAAGCCACAAAAGCCACGAGTTCCTGGCCAAGCCTATTTGATTGATAATAAGGATGAGATATCAGCACTGCCAGCACGTTTTAGTAATATACGCCATCACTTGGAACGCACCACAGGCCCAGGTGAGTGGGGCACTTGTTTTTTTAGGTCCAACGTTGTTTTTTCTAATTTTTCAAAGCTCCTGTAGATGTGGAGGAGGGTGCACTGTTGCCATCGCCAACGCGCGAAAAGCTAATGCCTGCTATAACCAAACGTGAGTCGGAGTCTCAACGTGGCAGTCCCAAGAAGACGGCCGTGTCACGCCATGGCTCGCCCCAGAAGGGTAGTCCACAGAAGGGCAGCCCCAAGAAAGTACTTAAAAGTGAGTAACATTCAATTTCCTTTCCATAGAAAAATATAAACCACCCTCACAAGCCCAACAGTTAATTAGAAATTCTACACGCAACACACGAATAGAAAACTCTTCTTTATTTTTATATACTCGTATATATTAAGCAACAATGAAACCAAGAAACACAAACACGAGCACTCTCTAGTGTAACCAAAGAGGTCACAATTCTACACACGCCAAAATAAGTATACGCCCTGTTATTGATATTTTGTTTTTGTTTCTTTTTATGATTTGTTTTTAAGTAAAACTAGTTTGCTCCAATGCTTTCAACTTTTAGTTTGCACTTTTCATTGAAGGATTATACTATGTTTATGTTGTTAAATATTCCTATAAGGTGCACCAAGAAAATGTTTGAATATGAGAATTATGCACAAACATTTTTTGTAACTTGCTATCTCTCTCTAGGTTTTGTTGAATTTTTTGAACTTGCGTTTTAGCATTAAGATATCGTTGTGTACAGAATGTTTGTTAGGCCTAAGTTATCCAAGTATAGCAATTAGGTACAGGCCAAAGCCCGGATTTGGTGAAGAACATTTGAAATTGGATGGAAAGTAATTATTCATATCATTATCAAAATGGCATCAGAACGAGTCGAGGTTAAAATTTTGCAGAAGCTGTAGGCGTGCATTTTCATTGTTTATTTTTCCGCATTTTCCGTAAACTTAGGAATTAAAATTTCAGCATTAATAGATCAACTATAAATGCTAGCAGCATTGACTATCATTTGTATAGAGATGCTAGATAAATATGTCGTGCTAAGTTAAGTGATTGGGATAAAGGCATTATTTGTAGTGTTCCAATTGCATTATATTGCTTATAATAGTTATTAATCACACTACACCCACTGGTAGAAAATGAAAAACTCACTAAGCATATCAATAAAAAATTGTTGAAGAAAGCGACTAAAAATTAAAACATATCACTCGTACTTCTATCATCGATCAAAAAACGCCACCACCACCACAACCACCACCACCAACTGCCATTTAACAACAAAATACGTATATTAAAAAAAAATCCAAATCGAAAATCCAAATCACATCTGCTCATCCGTGTGTGTGTGCGTGCGTGTGTATTCAGCACGCTCACAATCGGTGGGTCCTGGCGTCGTTGAGAATGAATCACCCAAGCGCCAGATACGTTCGGCGAGTCAAGCGCCCACCGCTCGCAAAAAGACACCGACATCGGCGACCTCAGCAGCCTCGGCCGGAAGTGAACGTAAGGCACGCCCATGTAAGTAGCATAACGTTGCGCAGCCCGCCCACCAAGGAATATAACGAACGCACGATTCTTTCGTACGTTATGCGTTCATTGCCTTGTTTCTCTTTTTGGTTCAGAGTTACGATTAGTTCGCATACATATATATATAGATATGTGTCTATATATTTCATGAGTTCATTGGCCTGAGTTGAGTTTGTTACGTTTTATCTTTTGAGTGCCTTATTTGTTTTGCATTTGTTCCATTTGAGTTGCAATCTACTTTGGTTTGTCAAAATTCTAGTTTAGTTTCTTATTTAGACAAAAACTCTTTCACAACTAAAAGCTAGTACGTTCATATCTAAACATACTTCAAATCAAACATTAGTTCAGTGTCTAATAAAAAAAAAAAAAAAACAAAAAATCAAAATAGTTCATTAACAAACAAAACAGTACGTAACTATATTTTTGTTAGATTAGTCTCTGGTCATGCGGTTATTTTATAATTTTTAGTTTTTATTTCTCATAATTTTATTCAATGTTTTTGTAATGAACCGTTTGATTGGTCTTTTGAATAAACATTCTATAGTTTGGCATGTTGAGTGAACAAATACTAACAAACTAAATTCGAATAACTTAAAGCTCACTAACCAAAGTACTAACTAAACAATAAAAACGTAATTGTAAGTAATAATTAATGCATACTAACAATGTCAGTGCCAAAAACTGCAAACCAAATACTGAGTGTTGTGTCTAACAATTTTCTTATTATTTCTTCATTTTTAGTTATAAGTGTACAAAATTACGTACAATGTGTAAAATATATTCAAGTTGTTGTTGAAAAGCTTTATGTATACAAGTTAATAAAAACAAAAACAAAATAACTTTCGGTACAAATTTAAGGAGGAAGAGACTGACTTCACTTAACTCTTAAGTTTAATTTAATTCACTACACTTAAAGCTTACTAAAGCTTCTTGATCTAAATTTAATTAAAATGCCTTTACAATAGTATAAGTATTATTTATATACTTGCAAGGAAGCTTGTTTAAGGTTTTGGACAGATTGTTGAAAAGAAGCGATTTTATATAAAACATATATAGTTATGAGTCAAATCAGCCAGACATATCCTATAGTTGCCATGGTAAAGAAAATAAGAGATCAATAAGACTCGATAGGCTTGCTCAACGTATTGAAAAGTACATGCTATTGCAACAAAAAAATATTCGATTCCTTCCAACGTCAGGGCTTTTCTGTACTGTTTATCTTGTTTCCGAGTAAACTTTAATTTTGTGGAAACAGAAGCGAGCTTACAATTTTTAAAGCATACTTTTGAGGGTTCGCTACATAGGTTTGCTGACTGCACAGCCAGTCTTGAAGTTATTTGCTTTGTAAAAGTGAATGAAAGCGCCAATTAAAGCAATTAAGGTTTTGATAATAATAATAATTGAATTGATAATAATGATTTTGTTTTAAAATTTTTTTGAGAGTAACAATAGTTGTTTTTGATTTAAAAAAAAGCTAAAAACAAGAATGGGGTCATTTGCAATACTTTTTTATTGTTAAATACAAGAATTCGCAGCTCGTTAATATAAATTTAATTATGTATGAAGCTGGCTGAATAGATTGAAAGGGCGGAAAGTTGCACTTACTTTATTTATTTTTTTAATTAAAACCTCAACGAATTCAGCAAGTTTGAGAAATATTGTTTTATGTTCGCATAGTTCTAGTTTAGTAGACTAACACTATTTGATATACTTATTAACAAATTGTCTCTAACACATCAAGAAGAAACAAACAAAAAATGAAAGAACTCGAACGTGCGCTCAGTAAATGCATTTTAAGCTTTTTTTTAAATTGTCTTATTTTTCTTTTTACATTTGACAGTATTTTTGTTTACATTTTATTTTGCTTTTGAAAATAATTAAACAAATGTTTGTATACATATTAAAACGATATTTTTTACATCTGCATTTTGTTTTTTGCATAATCATATATGCGATATGTGAAAAAAATGAAAAAACACATCTGAAAAATCGACTATCCAAAAACCAAAACAAAACCAACCTGCTTACGTTTTTATAGCCACCCTATCCACAACAATCCATTCCCGTAATAAAAGTAGTTCCCTACCACCGCCTAACGGTAGAGTAGCCGCAACATCGACAACTGCAGCTCCAGGCCGCGCAGCTACCACTACAACAACAACAACAGCAGCAGCAGCAGCAACAACAACAACAGCAGCATCAGCGACAGCAACAGCATCTAAAGCTACTGCTAATCAGCTTCATGCTAATCAATCACAAACATCACAAAGCAAGACCAACAGCAAAATTAATAAATCATCGCCATACAAAAGCGCTCAGCAACAACAACTGCAACAACAACAAATGCGTAAGAAAGACAAAGATAGATCGAATATTAGTTGCATTGGTATGGGTAGTAATGTTGGTGCTGGTAGTGGTAGTATTGCAAATAGTGCGAAGCATCAGCAGAATAAGCAAAAACAACAACAACTACAACAACAGCAGCAACAACAACAACAACAACAACAACAACAACCAAAATCAGAGCAACAAAAGCAGCAGCCGCAAACTAAAACCGCAACAGCAGCTGCATCAGCTGTTACTGCCACTGCAACAGCAACTGAAGCAGAAGCAGCAGCAGCAGCAACAACAACAACTTTGGCAACAACATCGGCAACAACAAATCCGGCCCGTCCTGCCACCATCAACATCAAACGGCTAACGGTACCAGGTCAGGATAAAAAATTGGCTGAAAGTGAGTAGAGTTGTCCGCAAAACTAATCTCAACAAAAAAAAAATCAATAAAAACAAAACAAAAAAAATCTCTTCAAGAAACCAATTTGAAACACCTTTATAAAAATTACTAAAAACTCTTAAAGAATTACTAAAATGGAAATGCTGTAAAATGTAAAATGAGATCTGCGCGAAATGTTTGTGTTGCAACTTTTGTAAAAAAAAACCAAATTAATCCTAACAAGCAAAAAACAAAATAACAATTTTAAATACTAATAATAATTGAGCATTTTACACCAAACGATTCGTGGCGCACACACGCATAATTAGTGAACAAGTTATTAGAATTATTATTTACTAAATTGGCATCCCAAATTGGCAAAAAAAAAACCACACAAATTTATTTGAACTTCTGTTGTCGTTCTGTTCTGACCGTGTGGAATCATGTGTGTATTTATTAGTTTATAGATTGGATTTGAACTTTGTACACAAAATTGTAGTTAGTTTGTACCTCGTTATTCCACAGGGTTGTCAACTTTTAAAGAAACAAAAAACACAAGTATTGCAACATTCAAAATTGTTTGTAAAATTGCAGAAAAAACAGAAAAAGAAAACAAATCAATGAAAACCTGATACCAAAAGCATTACTAAATGTTAGTTGTTGTTGTAATAAATGTTTGTAAATGTTGTATTTTCAGCTGTGTGTATATAATGAGAAACGAAATATTATAGACATGTATCATCTTGTATAGTATATGCGTATCATATCATTTGTAGTTTCGCCTTCTGTTCACACAACTGTCTGCCCCCTCCGCCCTGCAAATGCATAATTTTCCTTATACTTACTATTAACTATATACTCGTATTTATGTTGGTGTTTGTAGCTTAGTGTAGTGTTTTATTGCCCCTCTCCCCCATAGAGTTTTCTTTATGTTCTATAATTTAAACACAGACAACACAAGTCATACAAGGACACCAAACACCAAATACATAAAGGGTATTTAGTCAAAGATGTTTAGAAAGCTTACTTGGAAATTAAGCTACAATTTCTCAATAGTTGCTTGCAGCAAATAGTCTAAACACATTTTAATAATTTATCACAGTTTTTTTTTTAATATTACTATCACACTTCTTACTCATTTGGGTGTTCGTGCAATTCAAATGGAGGTGTTTAATTTTTAAAGCATCTGTTGAAAACGAAGGAAGGTTCAGAAAGCTAAGCACTCACAGGTTGTTAAAATACAGAACATAAGTAAGTTTTCAGCAAAGGTAGATTTATATTTATTAAAGGTAAGTCTACACTGATGGATTACTTGGTAAAATCAAAAATTAAAAGGGAACTTAGTTACATTATATTAATAACTTAAAATAAAATATAATCGAAATCATAAATGATGGGCCCCTTTTCGCGAGCATTTTGGTTTAGCAATTACTAGAGTCAGCAACGGTTGCGACGGTTCTCAGAAACCTATAGAGTATGGGATATTTTTTGTTTTAGTTTTCTAAAAGAACAATGGGATACATTAATTATTATGATAGGGCTTGAAGAAGATTGTGGAAAATTTGTTTCCTACGCTAATGGCAATATATGTTTTACCTTTAATTTACAAAGCAATTCAATTTCTCTATTATATCTAGTTGAATATTCATTTGATTTTTTTGTTATCCAATATAAACTTCGGACCCAAACCACGTTGCTTGATACAAACAATCACAGAAAAATGAGAAGTATACACAAATGATAAAAGCAGATAATAATGGTTCCAAATACGACTGGCTTTAGTCGTCGGTTCCAAATTAAACATAACTTATATGCATATTTGCCGAGAAAAATGCAATAAGAAAGCAAATTTTATTCAATTTCTTGAAACTTCTTAAGAAAAAACGTATTATCTTATGTTCTCACAATACTTAATTGAATCAAGCATGGAATAAGTTGACACAATCAATCTTTTATGATTCTACCAAGTTATTATTCCATCAGTGTAGAGAAGGTTTTGAGAACAGGTGCTCTGTCGGCGCTGCCGTTGTCGTTGCGCCCCATACTGGAACATAAACTCCCCCCAACAATCAATAATAAACAAAAACAAAAAACATTTCTATTTAACAATATTTTGCTCCTTAGTTTTGTGCGTGCTTTGAATTTAGCGAAAACTTTCTCTATAACATTGTGAAAGCTTTGCTCTGCATTCGATGTTAACTCAATGTTAAGTGTCTGTTAATTGTGGCATGCTGTTATTTTCATGTTGTGCGCTTTTACGAAAAAGAAGAAATGAAGAAAACATACAAATTGATTAATTAACATTATTTTTTTCGTACTAACCAATTATGTTGCCTTTTAAGCTTTATGCTTAATATGTGCTTCAGTTTACTGAGTTCGTTTAAGTTGAAGCTTTAAGTTCTTACACAGCAATATGTTGACTAAGTTTTGATTTAAGAAGAAACCAAAATATGCTATTTATTTCAATTTTATGTTACAACTTACTAACCAGCAAAAACTCAATCACTAAGTTTGCTTTAAAAGAAAACGAAGAAGAGAGAAAAACTCAACAGCTGCAGCAGCATAAATACTCTTACATAAAATGCGCCTCTAATGAAGTTAATTTGAAAGCATTTACAGCCACGAATACCTATCCAATCGAGGAGCTTAAATATATTTTTTTAATATTTTGCACCAACAGACGAGGGCGAGGATGGTCGAGAGACTGCAATTTCAATTTCCAGCTGCAGTCCACAGCCAGTGCCCGAGGTGCCCGATGAGCCATTGGTGAAATCGCCACCGGAGCCCACAAGGGTTAAGAGTCCTGAGCAGATTATAATGCGCTCGCCCGATCCAGTTAACTGGACGGTACCCTTGGACACAGGAAAGACATTCACTGTGACACAGAATGTCAAAGAGGGTAACACCCGAATGCATTTGATTGTGGAAATACTTTTAAAAGCAACATCTATCATATTTTCAGGTGAGAGCTATAGCCGACCACAGAGCGAGATTAAAGCGTCGACACCAGTGGAAAAACCACCACCGCCACCACAATCGGCACCGCCACAACTAACCGAACAGGCTAAAATGGACGGTAAGCCTTAAAGCACGCTTCAAAAATAAAACGCAACTTCCATAAAAACCAAAACCGACATCAAATGAAATCAACTCGTAAATCGTAAATCGTAATACCAAAAACCAAAACCAAGAATCGCTTTTACAAGTATTTATATTATAACTCGTATTTAAATATATGTATCTGTATATGTATTTATATATGTATGTATCGCTACTCACAACCATCATTCAAACCAAAAACCAAACCAAAATCGAATCGAATCATCACTCAACAAAAACGTACGTTAACCAAACTCTCAAAATCTCAACAACAACAAAAACAACAACACCAGAAATGCCAATCAATATAAGCGTAAATATCAATAATGCGTATTTCAGTATTAAGCCAAAATTTCGCAAAACCGCAATAAGCAAATTAAAAAGAACCCATTATTATAGAAAAATAATAAACAATTTAATTAAAAAGCAAATGCAACAAAGCCAAAACACACATAGCGTAACAAACGTAATGCTGACAAAACTTTACGTAACATAACCAAACACTATTTCCAAAACTTTCCCCCTCCACTTCCACTACTCACACACAGCCTGGAAAAAGGACCTGCTGAGCAGCAGCGGCTGCAGTCCGACCACAAGCGCCGCTGCCTATGGCAAAACTTTAACGCCTTATGCCCAGGGCCCCCAACCGGGCGGCGCCGTGCGCTGCGATACGTCCAAGTTGGCCGGTGAGGGAGTTATCGACGCCATCGCGACCACCACCACAACCACCTCGTCCTCGTTATCGACGGCGACCACCACAAACACGGCATCGACTGCACGCACCACGGCCGCCGATGTGCTGGAAAAGGCTCGTGACCGTTTCGATCGCTTTTGGGGGGGCAGCAGCAATAAGGAAGAGAATGTCTAAATTGCGATTGTTTCTCATTTTTCTGTAATTGTATTATTTGGAAAAATGATTCCACAACAACAACAACAACAACAAAATAAAAACAAACAAATTTGCGTGTTTTCAATGCAAATTGTATTTGAAAACCCAATAACACATACTATATGAGCAAATACTTATATATGCGAGTACGATTTACTAAGAAAATGCCGCCTAAAGCAAACAAAACAAAACAAACTCAAATACACACACCCAATAATAACAGCATACATAGACACATACACAAACATTACTCTTATAATCCTACAAAGTATTTACAGTTGGTCATTTAAAAGGTTATGAGGTCAAGATAATTTAAATGTCCAGGCAATTAAAAAAAAAAAGCTGGATAAATTCGAAATATTTAATTTTAAATTGTTAAAGTTTATTTCATAAAGGCACTTTAAAAGTGTATTTTGAAATTGCCTAAAGAACATATATTTATTTTAATTTTACTATAATGATTGAGATATACAAGTACTTTTGTCATCTCCACTCTCAGCCACTCATCAATTTCAAAAGCCTTTCAAACATCAGGGTATAGTTCGTAAAATTAAGTTTCTTTTTGTCGATATTTATACGACTTTTTTAATAAAAATTTGTATGGAATAATATAATAATGCCTTTGGGTCCATTGGCATTCGCTTGCATGTGGGTTTCACCGAAACTGCTAAAAATATTTAAATTGTGAATGTATAATTGAGAGTTCAAATTGTAAATCAAAGATGAAAGTGTCAACATCTGGTTGCCCTGTTAGTTAAGTTGGAGGCAACCCTTTGGAGTAATTTACCAAACGAGATCCCCCACTAAAATTGAATCAAGAAACCTAAAAGTTGAGGACTTAAAATTAAGGAAAGCCAGAAAGGTTGTATTCCTAATCATTCTTATCGCTCGATAATTTGTTTTCATTTCGGAAATTGAAATTAAAGATTGTAACTTCCTAAGTGGCCAACTGCTTGTATTTGAAAATACTTTTAACACTCATGTACTATCTAACTCTATCTCTCAGTCTATATCTTTGGGACTTGCTTTCTTAGCAGGAGAACGAAATAAATCACTAGTTTTCAAATTTATCCTGAGCATTTAGGCTGTTCGATGTCAAGCAGCAGTAAGAGGAAATTATAGCGAGCATATAAAAGTAATCATTTTAGAGTAGAAGAAAGGAAACTTTCAAATAGAAATGATTTGCACACAATTTCCAATTACTGTTGGCAGCTCATTACAAATAAAGCAATGGTCTTCAAGCAATTTGGTCAGGCACGAGCTTCACCTATACAAGAAACTACTTATATTCAAGTAAAGCAAAACACCAGAAACACTTACTTTCACTGCCTACCCCTTAAGTACCCACACAACAAGAACAAGAGTAAAGTAAAACTATTGTATACGTTGCAATAAAAGTGAACCTTGTAATAAAAAGAAAATCATTAAACCCAAGACATGCATTCAAAACAGGGCTAAACATCACCACAGAGACCCGTCCAAAAAGTGAGCAATGTATAAAAGTCAAGGACAACACAAACTTGCAACTCACATTTTTGTAATTTCCATGAAAAAAAGAGAGATTCAAATTAAAAAAAAACACACATTAAACTAAAGGCAATATGCAGAGCATTGGGTTATTGCATAAGGTGATCCGTCAACAGTTTAAGAAATTAAAAATAATAGTTTTTGCACATGAAATACAAATACGAAAATGATATTTATGATACATAATTTAAGTGATTTTGGCTAATACAAGACATACAGAAAGGCAATGATGGTTAATAAAGAGACGACATTAAAAATATAATATGAAATGCGAAATGCTAACAAAATTCTATATACAATACATATAGTGTGTAATTTAGGAAGCTTTGAAGTACATAATTGAGAAACTAGTTTGCGGCATATCTCCACATTATAAATACGTACGTAAAAATTGAGACCTATTTGAAAGCGAAAAGTTGCGATTTTTAAATAAAATTATGTGTGTTGTTTGCAAATGAAGGGATCGAGTAAACAGCACTTAAATTTATTTTCAAGTACAAAGAAGACAAATGTATTTAAATTATTACAAAAACAGAAACTATGCTTAGTTTGCATTCAGTTCTACCTAAGTTGTAGGCTAACCTCAACTCAACACTTAAGTTCATTGAAATGAAGAGCCTAAGTGTTAAACAAATCTTAGTAATGTGTAGTTTAAAATGAAAACTGAAGTTAAAATTTCAATACAATAAGTTTTGTGATTAACTTCAGTATTGAGCTTAATTGTTGCTTGCATATATTTTTATTAAAAAAGTACCCACAAAAAAAAAAAAAAGGAAAACAAAAAAAGACATACACTCAGACGCTTCAGTGGTATTTATTAAACAGTTAAACACTTTTTATATATTTTTCATGATGAAACTGTTTGTTATTCGAAACTGTTGAGTTACAAAATAAACTTAAATGTTACCATATGCATATTATCAAGTGCCCCAGCATAAAATCCAAAACATAACAAAAGAAGAAATGGCGGAAGAAAAACATTTGTTTAGTAAGTCCATTCTAAAAGTTTTCATAAACTCAAAATCCAATTCTAGTTAGTAATAAATGTAAGCAAACATATAGCCTCAAACAATTTAAGCCAAATAGCATGAAAAGCACACAACTAAAAATTCACACACAATCTACAGAAATACGATTAGTTTGGAAAACAAAACTGACGTACTTTTCAAATTATTTGGTTCGAACAACTACAACTACTTAAACAATTTTAGGCAACTCTAATATATACGAACATTCAAATTATTTAGCTTGTCTACATAATTAACTAAGTACTATATATATATACACAAAAAACATGAAATAAAATATGAAAAAGAAAATTGAAATGGCAGTTCGATTTCAAAAAGTGTGCAGGCTTTAAAGAACAACATAAACAAAATTAATTAAGGATATTTTCAATCCAAAAAGGCATTTTATAGTTTCAACTTTGCGACAAAATGAATGTCACATTTTAAAAATAACTTTTCATGCCCTTAATCGCCTAATTATATATATTTTTTTTAACAATTTCACAATTTGCAATAAGACAAGTATACAACATAAACAATAATGAAACATTTCAAACGATAATTTTCCGAATTGTAATACAAAAGAGGCACACCAAATAGCCTTCAGAAATACAGAATAAAAAACCATATACAAAAAAGGTATATATACTAACAAATTCTCACATAAAAAATACATAATAAAAAACCATAAAGAACACAAGTGATGGTTGAATATAAAGAACATTTAAAAAGTGTATGAATCAAATAAAATAAAACTGCGTATAAACGTTTTAAATATTGTTTTTAATTCAACTCTAAACAGAAGTAAATAGAACGAGTAAGTAATGGCTAACTAGTGGAAAATAGTAAGTAATGATTAAATTTTAATTTTTTATAATACCTGTTTAATTTTGAATAAAAAAAGCTTATTATAGGTAATTAGTAAATTATTTTTGGGTTGCGTGATTACTTACTTTACATGTTATACGTTATTATATAACAAACAACTACTGAAGTCCTTAAAGATGTAGATAGTGGAACTATTGATAGTAAACCATCGGCGGTCTCGAAAACGGCGTTTTATCTACGTTTTTCAAATAAATTGAATTTGTTGTTCTATGATAGTTAATGAGTCCGTTTAGCTCAAACTTTAGATTATGGAAAGTCACTTTTAACTTTAAAATACAATATTTATATAAAAAGGAAAAAAAGTTTAGGATCGAATTTTTCTATGTTTGGTATATAAAATAATGGTTTGCAATACAATTGCTAAGCGTATGGATAAGACGAGCCCACATACCGAGTTTTGAGCCCCTACCTGGTATGGTTTAAAAGTAAAGATCATGCCTACATTGATTTCCCTTATCCTGCAGATCATATATGTTTCACGCTCACCAATTGCAAAACAAATTGTATTTTGAAATCGATTTTCAAATAAAAAATGCAATTAGATTTTTGTTTTGTGTTTTGTTTTTATTGTTATTTATTATTATTAATTTTCTCCGCAGAAAAATGTTCGTATTATAATTTGCATATTATTTGGGGGTAAGAAATATATTTTTTATTGCATAGCATACTCGTATATACGCCTGTAATACAATTTTAATTCAAATTGGTGTATTAACTGTTATGTTGTTTAGGTTTTTGCGGGTGTGCTTAAAAATTTCGATCGCTGCTACAAGATTTTAAACTATATTGTGTTTTGGTTCAATTACAAGATTTTACAATTACAATATAAATATTTTTTGTGTATGGGTTTCGGGTGTGTAATATTTTTACATGCAAATATGATTGTTTACAGTGTTACATATAAGTACGAGTAGTTCTGGATTGCATTTTCTGAGCGAATCGTGACATTTACATTTTGGATTGGGCAATTATAGTATAGTATACAGTATTTTGAAATTACATTTTCGCATATTGGCTATTATGAGTATTTGTATTATTTAATTTTTAAGTTATTTATTTTTCAAATTTATATACTTTACACATTTTAAGAGTATAGAATGCTGTTATCACAGTATTTTAAATAAGGAAACACATGATTTTTAGAATTTAGATTCCAGAAAAATGTTGTTAAAACCAAAGCTAAAAAAATGAAAGGAAAAGTAGAAGTTTTTGAATGATTAAGGAACTTAACATAAGTGAATAATTGAGGAAATTTCAGCTTTTTGTCTAATCATGAATTTGCATTCTAAATTGCTTTAAAGTTAGGTCGAAAATACATGTGTCGAAAAAATGTTCTGGGATTTTTTCTTACACGTATGTATTTAAGTTATTCATTTGTATTAGTTATATAATTTTTAATGTTTTCGGATTACACAAAGTATATTTGTGTAACGAAAAGTTCGTGTATATGTTTAAATTTTTAATTCAGTTTAAATTAGTTTTATTAATTTAATTTAATTTAAATTTTTTAAACGTAAGCGTAAATAGTTCAGATATTTCACAAATATATCTCAAAAATTGTATTTATTCAACACACTTAAAGAAATGTGCAGCTTGAGAGTGTTGTTGTAGGTATTACTTGAAATTATATTGCAAAGGTTTACAACAAATCAATCGAGTTGGTCTGGGCCCATTTATACTTATATATCAAAAAATATAATTTATAGACGTCGCTCAAGAGATTTGTTATTGTTTATTATTAGTTAGAATTATTCGTTTCAAAAACTCGCTCAACTGGAGACAACTTGAGCAAACATTTGGAAACGACTTACTTTAGAAAAACTAAAATAAAGGTATTCTTGGTTTTCTCACACAGACATGGTGTACGATGTATATGCAGCCATATATATATATGTATATATATAGTATAATATATATGTAAATATGTATGTATATACTTTTGCTAATCGAAAATAGGTAACTATAAAAATTTAGCACAATTCTCTTAATTCGAATGTTGGGTTTTTCATTTCTTACATTTTTGATAAAAGTTGCTTGCTTTGCTTCACCAAACAATTAAAAGGTATACCAAAAGGTCTTCAACACACAAATTTAATCCGAGTTTTACAATCTAGCTAAATTTTGAAATACATACCAAACTAACGGAAACACTGGCGCACCGCACCGAACCGAAGTGCTCCGCACTTACTGGTACTTGCCCTAGGACCTAAACTTATGACGAAAAAAACGCTTTAAATTTAGTAACTAAATTCCATGTACATTATAAATAAACGAATTTCATTTGCTTTTGGTTTTTTTTTATCTTAATTTTTGGTTACCACAAAAAATGACACATCAAACAGACTTTTCTTTGTTACAATTACGAGTATAATGTTAGCATGGGTTCGACACAACAATGTTGGGAAACATTTACACGATTTATGTATGCATGTATGTATAGTATGTATATAGCTTAGAGAAGGTATAATTAATAATACAATAATATGTCGAGATTGGTTTTAAAATAGATATTTGTCTTTTGGGTTTACAATTATAAAAATTAAATTGCTTATTAATTTAGAATGTTTTTTGTTTGGGTCTAAAGGTATAAACGAGTCATTTTCCTAATCGATTTTCGAATTTGAAAAAGAGTTAAGCGTAAATGGGATCTTAAACGCTGCTTGCTTTCTTAAAAACTAGTTGTTGGGTTTGCTGTTAATTAATATCCTTTTGGTTTTGCATGTGCCACTACATTTAAATTCGTTTTGCTGCCAATTCAATAATTTTGCTTTTGACAAATCCAAAAATGAAATTCAGTTATTTGCGCTTACATGACTAGATCAGAAAATGATAGGCAAGTCTCTTTTAACTAAATAGCTGTTTTCGTTTTCTTTCTCTTGAAACGAAATCATTTATAATTTAAATAGTTTTGAAATAATCTTCGTTTTCTTTCTCTTGAAACGAAATCATTTATAATTTAAATAGTTTTGAAATAATTAAAGAGATTTTTGTTCGTTAGCCCCGCTCCTAAAATCGAGCTTTAGAGTTAGGCGCGTTCACTCAATTATTCCCACCCGATTTCAGTTTGTTTTGTTAATTTTGTTTTCGTTAGCTAAGCTAGCCTATAAATAGTGATTGTGTTATGCATTTTTCCCATAAAAAAACTAACACTCTTACTGTTCGCTTACAACACTAAACAGCCACACAAAATGCCTTAACATATCCCAAGCACAACAAACTCTAAGAGCGGCTTTCGAAGACTGATTTTTGTACTAGCCGGTAGTTCATTAAACAATCTCCCCTACACTTTCCCCCTCTCTCTACTTCCCTCCCCTCTCACAAAACAGGAACAATTTTGATTGTAGTGGCATAGTTGGGTTCGATTTAGTTCTCGCTCAAATCCTTAATAGCCTGCAGGATGCGCTTCACATGACCTACTTTTACAACGCCCAAGTCCTTCAAATCTCGCCGGCCTAGTGTCAACAGCTCCTTGCCACGAATATCGTTCTTTAGGAAGCTATCCACATATTCGGATAGCTGCATAGTCTCCAGCCAGGTGACCACCTCATTGACGCTCCAGTTATTGGCAGCCTCACGCGTGTTGGTGAGCGGTGGCTTGAACTGTTGTTGACCGGCGGTAGAGCCTGAGCGTAGACGTACCCAGAAGAGACGGGATTTCCGGCGACCATCGGACTAAGAAAGAATAGATTTATTACAAATGACGAATATTAAAAATGTATAATTACAAAGCTTATAAATAAAATGACAAAAATGAATAATAGACATTTTTCTATTGCAGCAATACTATATAAGAGGTTGGACCTATGCATGGATTGTAATTAACTAGATCAGCATGCCAATAAGCTCAAGCTACCTTCCTGGTTTGGTGAACCTAGCTGTTATGATTCAAAATGTATTGGAGTTCATACAGACGGACAGACGAACTAACGCACTGAAATAAAATTTAAATCTATTGTGATTACCTCTTCATTGGGTGCCAGGACATTAAAGTAGGCACGCAGCTTGCCATCGATGCACTTTTGAACGGAACATTTCTTCAGCTCCATTTCCATGTTGGCCAATGCTGCACTCAATTTAGTTTCCAGATCCTCACGCAATATGAGACTGTGTCCACGATCTCTGAGCAAAGTACAAGCATCGTCATAAAGCTGACGCGACGAATCGATGACCTCCACCAGCTTGGTGCGCAACGAGGGACCTTCCAGCAGCTTGCCCTGGGGATGTATAGACTCCAGGGCCTCACTGGCACGGCAGGCTACCTCGTAAAGATCGTGTTGCAGTGCCGGATGGGATATGATCAAGAACTTGACCCATTTCACCAAAGAGCTGACAGCCTCAATGAAATTGAGCAGCACATAGCACTCACGCTCCGAAATGACTTCATCGGTAGAGGTGGCATGTTCCGAGGCAGTCGACGAGGCGTCACGTTGAATGGAAATGCTGTGCTGACGTTGTTTCTCTTGCCAGCTCTTCAAGGATACCTCCAAACTGCGGTTACGACACAGCATCTGGACACGATTCTTGTGCAAAATGCGTATCATGCCGGGTGGTTGTAGCCAGGCCTCACCATCCACCTGTATGGGTATCTCCTCATCGCCAAGAATATTAATCTGTACGCTCTGACATTGAGCAATGCGATGATGTTGCAGATTAATGAGGCGAGAGGCGGCCATTTGTACCGATCCAAAGACGGCCACAACTTCCAAAACGCGATCATCGAAGCTGGGTGGGAGGAAGATGTCGTCCTTCTTGGTGTTACCCCAAAAGTTGGTGCCGCCCATGAAGCTGGGTATATTTAAGATGACAATACCCTGAAGTTCGGGCAATGGAATGCGCTGTCCATCACACTCCAGCTGCACACGCTGCTCCAGATTTTTGCAGGTCTTTTGTAGGAGCTGCTTCGAGCCCAGCACACCATACCACATATAATTGCGGGCACGTGAGCGACACTTCTCTGGATGCTCCTCCCGCTTGTTGTGGAAGTCCAGCGAGATTTTGGCATCGATGCCAATACCGAAATAGTTATTCATCACGCACTTCTCATGGTAACCCGCAAGCAGCGTCTCATCGGGATCCATGAGCGGACTAACTGCAGCGCATAGAGTGTCCGCATTGGCGAGCAAACACTTGGAAATAAATCCAGTGCCATTGGTGAGATCTGAGGATAAAGTATACATAAGTCGCATAAGTTATTTGTTGGGCTGGTATCTCAGTTGTTGTCTACTTACTGGGCCAATTGGGCAACCGCACGAGCGGATTGATAATCGGTAGCTTGCGATTGCACTCCTCTGGTGGTGTTTTGTCCTTCTCCTTGCCGGACTTGTCATCCTTATCGGCAGTGCCGAAGTGATCGAAGCCGAAGAGTGTAGACCCCATAAAGAGGCTCGACTTGGAACCCTTAAGTGTTTGTAAATTGGGCAAAGCTTCATTCGGCTGCAAGAGAGAGTTGACGATTAGTTTGGACTCTGCTGGAACAGTTACCAACGAGTACGAGTATGTGTCAAAGAGCAACTGGAAAGTCAGCACTAACTACGATACAAAGAAACATGTGGGCGTGTGTGGTGAGAGTGTTGTGGTTGTGGTTGTGGTGGTGCATGTGGCTTAGCGTTGTGTTGTTACTGACGCAGGGTTGCTGTTGTTATTATTTATTGTTATTGTAGAGCAGTTTTAGAGAGAATTAGAGACAGCGTACTACTGGAAACGGAAAACCATAACTTAGTTTGAAAGCAAAGCTACTTGTGTGCTTTTTGGTTGAAGGTGTGTGTAATTGTTGTTGTTGTTTGATGTTGGCTGGTGTTGTATAGAAAGCTGTGATATAAGTATGCATGTATGTACGTGTATGTTTACAGAGTTAGTCTTAGTCTGGGGTACTTTACAACACTACTGATTACGGCGGCAACACGTGTAACACAATCTCAAAGTAAAAAGAACGTGAAAGTGAATTTGAAGCTGACACTGGAACTGGAGAGTTGGCATTTGGTATTATACAGGGACTATTTGCAGTTTTCTTTTTTTTTTTTTTTTTTTTTTTTTGCTTTTGTTAGTTATTTGGCATTGGTATGTAGGTTTAAACATCGAAAGAAGAACGAACGAGGGAGCGCAGGATTTCAACATGGCAACGGCAACGGCAACGTAGCGCTTTGACCAGCCTTTGGACAGGCTGGCATTCGGGGGGAGAGGTGGACAGCTATTGACGAGCTTACCAGCGGTATAAGTGGTCTGATAAGCGCCAGGGTGGCGAGGCGAATGTCTGGTTCGGCAACCACAAAGAAACGCACGCTCAAGAATCCGTAGGCGCGTTTTGTTAATGCTTTTTGGTTTTTCTTCTAAGAAAACGTATTTAATATGGATTTGTAGTTTGTTTGTGTATTAAGTATGCGAAATAAAAATATACACTACCCTCCACTAAAACATATTTCAAAACAAATCAGATTACATTTCCCTACAAATTCTCTTACATGATACAAGCCTTTTACTTTGATAAATATATTGTCGCTGTTTTATAGAGCGGCAGCGTATATTTTTTATTTTTAAATGAAGAAAGTGTAGTTAGAGCGAGTAATATACAAGTTGTTGTTTTTTGTATGAATAGCTGCAGTAAGAGTTTTTTTTTTTACATATGAAAACGATAAATGAAATAATATTGTAATAATATAGTTGACATAATTTTGAAATACATACCAATTGTTTTTGTGCTTTTTATAAAAAAAAACATTACATTTTCGCATATTGGCTATTATGAGTATTTGTATTATTTAATTTTTAAGTTATTTATTTTTCAAATTTATATACTTTACACATTTTAAGAGTATAGAATGCTGTTATCACAGTATTTTAAATAAGGAAACACATGATTTTTAGAATTTAGATTCCAGAAAAATGTTGTTAAAACCAAAGCTAAAAAAATGAAAGGAAAAGTAGAAGTTTTTGAATGATTAAGGAACTTAACATAAGTGAATAATTGAGGAAATTTCAGCTTTTTGTCTAATCATGAATTTGCATTCTAAATTGCTTTAAAGTTAGGTCGAAAATACATGTGTCGAAAAAATGTTCTGGGATTTTTTCTTACACGTATGTATTTAAGTTATTCATTTGTATTAGTTATATAATTTTTAATGTTTTCGGATTACACAAAGTATATTTGTGTAACGAAAAGTTCGTGTATATGTTTAAATTTTTAATTCAGTTTAAATTAGTTTTATTAATTTAATTTAATTTAAATTTTTTAAACGTAAGCGTAAATAGTTCAGATATTTCACAAATATATCTCAAAAATTGTATTTATTCAACACACTTAAAGAAATGTGCAGCTTGAGAGTGTTGTTGTAGGTATTACTTGAAATTATATTGCAAAGGTTTACAACAAATCAATCGAGTTGGTCTGGGCCCATTTATACTTATATATCAAAAAATATAATTTATAGACGTCGCTCAAGAGATTTGTTATTGTTTATTATTAGTTAGAATTATTCGTTTCAAAAACTCGCTCAACTGGAGACAACTTGAGCAAACATTTGGAAACGACTTACTTTAGAAAAACTAAAATAAAGGTATTCTTGGTTTTCTCACACAGACATGGTGTACGATGTATATGCAGCCATATATATATATGTATATATATAGTATAATATATATGTAAATATGTATGTATATACTTTTGCTAATCGAAAATAGGTAACTATAAAAATTTAGCACAATTCTCTTAATTCGAATGTTGGGTTTTTCATTTCTTACATTTTTGATAAAAGTTGCTTGCTTTGCTTCACCAAACAATTAAAAGGTATACCAAAAGGTCTTCAACACACAAATTTAATCCGAGTTTTACAATCTAGCTAAATTTTGAAATACATACCAAACTAACGGAAACACTGGCGCACCGCACCGAACCGAAGTGCTCCGCACTTACTGGTACTTGCCCTAGGACCTAAACTTATGACGAAAAAAACGCTTTAAATTTAGTAACTAAATTCCATGTACATTATAAATAAACGAATTTCATTTGCTTTTGGTTTTTTTTTATCTTAATTTTTGGTTACCACAAAAAATGACACATCAAACAGACTTTTCTTTGTTACAATTACGAGTATAATGTTAGCATGGGTTCGACACAACAATGTTGGGAAACATTTACACGATTTATGTATGCATGTATGTATAGTATGTATATAGCTTAGAGAAGGTATAATTAATAATACAATAATATGTCGAGATTGGTTTTAAAATAGATATTTGTCTTTTGGGTTTACAATTATAAAAATTAAATTGCTTATTAATTTAGAATGTTTTTTGTTTGGGTCTAAAGGTATAAACGAGTCATTTTCCTAATCGATTTTCGAATTTGAAAAAGAGTTAAGCGTAAATGGGATCTTAAACGCTGCTTGCTTTCTTAAAAACTAGTTGTTGGGTTTGCTGTTAATTAATATCCTTTTGGTTTTGCATGTGCCACTACATTTAAATTCGTTTTGCTGCCAATTCAATAATTTTGCTTTTGACAAATCCAAAAATGAAATTCAGTTATTTGCGCTTACATGACTAGATCAGAAAATGATAGGCAAGTCTCTTTTAACTAAATAGCTGTTTTCGTTTTCTTTCTCTTGAAACGAAATCATTTATAATTTAAATAGTTTTGAAATAATCTTCGTTTTCTTTCTCTTGAAACGAAATCATTTATAATTTAAATAGTTTTGAAATAATTAAAGAGATTTTTGTTCGTTAGCCCCGCTCCTAAAATCGAGCTTTAGAGTTAGGCGCGTTCACTCAATTATTCCCACCCGATTTCAGTTTGTTTTGTTAATTTTGTTTTCGTTAGCTAAGCTAGCCTATAAATAGTGATTGTGTTATGCATTTTTCCCATAAAAAAACTAACACTCTTACTGTTCGCTTACAACACTAAACAGCCACACAAAATGCCTTAACATATCCCAAGCACAACAAACTCTAAGAGCGGCTTTCGAAGACTGATTTTTGTACTAGCCGGTAGTTCATTAAACAATCTCCCCTACACTTTCCCCCTCTCTCTACTTCCCTCCCCTCTCACAAAACAGGAACAATTTTGATTGTAGTGGCATAGTTGGGTTCGATTTAGTTCTCGCTCAAATCCTTAATAGCCTGCAGGATGCGCTTCACATGACCTACTTTTACAACGCCCAAGTCCTTCAAATCTCGCCGGCCTAGTGTCAACAGCTCCTTGCCACGAATATCGTTCTTTAGGAAGCTATCCACATATTCGGATAGCTGCATAGTCTCCAGCCAGGTGACCACCTCATTGACGCTCCAGTTATTGGCAGCCTCACGCGTGTTGGTGAGCGGTGGCTTGAACTGTTGTTGACCGGCGGTAGAGCCTGAGCGTAGACGTACCCAGAAGAGACGGGATTTCCGGCGACCATCGGACTAAGAAAGAATAGATTTATTACAAATGACGAATATTAAAAATGTATAATTACAAAGCTTATAAATAAAATGACAAAAATGAATAATAGACATTTTTCTATTGCAGCAATACTATATAAGAGGTTGGACCTATGCATGGATTGTAATTAACTAGATCAGCATGCCAATAAGCTCAAGCTACCTTCCTGGTTTGGTGAACCTAGCTGTTATGATTCAAAATGTATTGGAGTTCATACAGACGGACAGACGAACTAACGCACTGAAATAAAATTTAAATCTATTGTGATTACCTCTTCATTGGGTGCCAGGACATTAAAGTAGGCACGCAGCTTGCCATCGATGCACTTTTGAACGGAACATTTCTTCAGCTCCATTTCCATGTTGGCCAATGCTGCACTCAATTTAGTTTCCAGATCCTCACGCAATATGAGACTGTGTCCACGATCTCTGAGCAAAGTACAAGCATCGTCATAAAGCTGACGCGACGAATCGATGACCTCCACCAGCTTGGTGCGCAACGAGGGACCTTCCAGCAGCTTGCCCTGGGGATGTATAGACTCCAGGGCCTCACTGGCACGGCAGGCTACCTCGTAAAGATCGTGTTGCAGTGCCGGATGGGATATGATCAAGAACTTGACCCATTTCACCAAAGAGCTGACAGCCTCAATGAAATTGAGCAGCACATAGCACTCACGCTCCGAAATGACTTCATCGGTAGAGGTGGCATGTTCCGAGGCAGTCGACGAGGCGTCACGTTGAATGGAAATGCTGTGCTGACGTTGTTTCTCTTGCCAGCTCTTCAAGGATACCTCCAAACTGCGGTTACGACACAGCATCTGGACACGATTCTTGTGCAAAATGCGTATCATGCCGGGTGGTTGTAGCCAGGCCTCACCATCCACCTGTATGGGTATCTCCTCATCGCCAAGAATATTAATCTGTACGCTCTGACATTGAGCAATGCGATGATGTTGCAGATTAATGAGGCGAGAGGCGGCCATTTGTACCGATCCAAAGACGGCCACAACTTCCAAAACGCGATCATCGAAGCTGGGTGGGAGGAAGATGTCGTCCTTCTTGGTGTTACCCCAAAAGTTGGTGCCGCCCATGAAGCTGGGTATATTTAAGATGACAATACCCTGAAGTTCGGGCAATGGAATGCGCTGTCCATCACACTCCAGCTGCACACGCTGCTCCAGATTTTTGCAGGTCTTTTGTAGGAGCTGCTTCGAGCCCAGCACACCATACCACATATAATTGCGGGCACGTGAGCGACACTTCTCTGGATGCTCCTCCCGCTTGTTGTGGAAGTCCAGCGAGATTTTGGCATCGATGCCAATACCGAAATAGTTATTCATCACGCACTTCTCATGGTAACCCGCAAGCAGCGTCTCATCGGGATCCATGAGCGGACTAACTGCAGCGCATAGAGTGTCCGCATTGGCGAGCAAACACTTGGAAATAAATCCAGTGCCATTGGTGAGATCTGAGGATAAAGTATACATAAGTCGCATAAGTTATTTGTTGGGCTGGTATCTCAGTTGTTGTCTACTTACTGGGCCAATTGGGCAACCGCACGAGCGGATTGATAATCGGTAGCTTGCGATTGCACTCCTCTGGTGGTGTTTTGTCCTTCTCCTTGCCGGACTTGTCATCCTTATCGGCAGTGCCGAAGTGATCGAAGCCGAAGAGTGTAGACCCCATAAAGAGGCTCGACTTGGAACCCTTAAGTGTTTGTAAATTGGGCAAAGCTTCATTCGGCTGCAAGAGAGAGTTGACGATTAGTTTGGACTCTGCTGGAACAGTTACCAACGAGTACGAGTATGTGTCAAAGAGCAACTGGAAAGTCAGCACTAACTACGATACAAAGAAACATGTGGGCGTGTGTGGTGAGAGTGTTGTGGTTGTGGTTGTGGTGGTGCATGTGGCTTAGCGTTGTGTTGTTACTGACGCAGGGTTGCTGTTGTTATTATTTATTGTTATTGTAGAGCAGTTTTAGAGAGAATTAGAGACAGCGTACTACTGGAAACGGAAAACCATAACTTAGTTTGAAAGCAAAGCTACTTGTGTGCTTTTTGGTTGAAGGTGTGTGTAATTGTTGTTGTTGTTTGATGTTGGCTGGTGTTGTATAGAAAGCTGTGATATAAGTATGCATGTATGTACGTGTATGTTTACAGAGTTAGTCTTAGTCTGGGGTACTTTACAACACTACTGATTACGGCGGCAACACGTGTAACACAATCTCAAAGTAAAAAGAACGTGAAAGTGAATTTGAAGCTGACACTGGAACTGGAGAGTTGGCATTTGGTATTATACAGGGACTATTTGCAGTTTTCTTTTTTTTTTTTTTTTTTTTTTTTTTTGCTTTTGTTAGTTATTTGGCATTGGTATGTAGGTTTAAACATCGAAAGAAGAACGAACGAGGGAGCGCAGGATTTCAACATGGCAACGGCAACGGCAACGTAGCGCTTTGACCAGCCTTTGGACAGGCTGGCATTCGGGGGGAGAGGTGGACAGCTATTGACGAGCTTACCAGCGGTATAAGTGGTCTGATAAGCGCCAGGGTGGCGAGGCGAATGTCTGGTTCGGCAACCACAAAGAAACGCACGCTCAAGAATCCGTAGGCGCGTTTTGTTAATGCTTTTTGGTTTTTCTTCTAAGAAAACGTATTTAATATGGATTTGTAGTTTGTTTGTGTATTAAGTATGCGAAATAAAAATATACACTACCCTCCACTAAAACATATTTCAAAACAAATCAGATTACATTTCCCTACAAATTCTCTTACATGATACAAGCCTTTTACTTTGATAAATATATTGTCGCTGTTTTATAGAGCGGCAGCGTATATTTTTTATTTTTAAATGAAGAAAGTGTAGTTAGAGCGAGTAATATACAAGTTGTTGTTTTTTGTATGAATAGCTGCAGTAAGAGTTTTTTTTTTTACATATGAAAACGATAAATGAAATAATATTGTAATAATATAGTTGACATAATTTTGAAATACATACCAATTGTTTTTGTGCTTTTTATAAAAAAAAACATATATTTACGAGTATTCGTACTTTCTGATGTAGCTTTTTGTGGTTTACTAAATACTTTTCAATTTCTTAACACATTGTGGGTAAAATCATTTGAAATGTGGCAAATGAAAACGTATCTAACTGAGAATATATCTTATGCACTTCAAATGAAAGTCTTAAACTTAAAAATGGCAAAATGTAATAGAAATAATTCGTATGAATCTTCCAAATGAAGGGCACAAGATGTAGCGTTTTGGAGGAAATAAAATCGAAACTGAGAACGCAAATCAGTGTCGAAATAAATTCGTATGAATCTTCCAAATGAAGGGCATAAGATGATTTGCTTTGGAGGAAATAAAATCGAAACTGAAAACGCAAATCTGTGTCGAAATAAATTCGTATGAATCTTCCAAATGAAGGGCACAAGATGATTTGCTTTGGAGGAAATAAAATCGAAACTGAGAACGTAAATCAGTGTCGAAATAAATTCGTATGAATCTTCCGCAAATGAAGATGTTGGTCGTTTTGGAGGAAATAAAATCGAAACTGAAAACGCAAATCCGTGTGGGCCTAAGAGCTCAACTAAAACAGATTGTATGTTCCTCCTTGGCATATAGCCTCGTGCTAAGTGGTTTCTCTTTATTTCTCAATTACCTATAACCGTTGTCTGTATGTGTGACTGCTTGCTGCTCGCCTGACTTATTTGTTCTTTTTTTTTTGGGTACTTTTTGTTTGTTTGCTCGCTTGCCTTGATGCAGTGCAATGCAATTGAATAAAGTTGGGCTTGGACGGCTCTGGGACTTACCTTGAAGAGACTGCCACAGCTAATTCTACGACTAGCTGCCGGTGAACTGCTAAGGAAACGCGCATGCTCCGGATCCAATGTCAATAGATTTGGATTAAAGCCGGAGTGCCGACGATCCTTGTCCTTGTCAAATTCACGCACCGACAAGCTGGGCGCATGGCTCGAGTGGCGTCGTATCTCCGAAGCGTTTAGGCCACGTACGCCGAGCAATGCCGACGACGCGGTTAGCGACGCTGACGAGATCGCCGCTGACGCTTTGACTGAGTCACCGCGCAACGGTGTTGGCGGACGTACAACAACACTTATCTGTGGATAGTTGGGATTTACATCATCAAAGGATTCTTTCTTACACGACTCATCAAATGTTATGCGCTTTACATCTTGTCCGTGACCAGATTTCTTCGTTGGCGATGTTGATGAGGCCATTGCCGATTCGAGTTTGTGTGTCGTCTTTGTTGTTGTTGTTGTGGTGTGTGTTGTTGTTTCAACATCGTGTATTTCAATTTTAATCGCTGATTGTGTGGACAGTTCATCCTCGTTAGTCGTAGTCAAATTGGCGCTAGTTAGAGTCGCCTTATTGGGCGCAGCTTCATCGTCAAGGTTGGCGCTTTCGAGCAAAAGCTGCTGTTGAGATACGATTGTTGTAGTTTGTTTAAGTTTTTTGAGAGAGACGCGCTTTTTGGGACGCTTCATCAGAGGCAAGAGGGCGATTGGACGGTTGGTTGATTAGTTAGTTAGTTGATTGATTGGTTGGTTAGTTGGTTGGTCGGTTGGTTGGTTGGTTGTTTGGTTAGTTGAGATTAGTTGGGCAAGCGCAAGTGAACGGTTTCGTTTTAAATTTGTTAAACAAAAAGAAAAAGTTTTGAAGACAGAAGCAAAACGGAGAGCAACAAAAATTTACCATAAATAATTGCGTCTGAAAACTTCCGATCGTATAAAGCTAGCATATACATACATATACAATTTACCTAAGCTAGACTATTTAGACTTGACCCACCAATACGTGGCTAGACCTACCTTGAAACTTTGTCGTGCAATATCGTTACCTTCCACGAACTGCGCCAGGCTGCAGTATCGCGGAGGCTCACGAATCTTCTGATCATCACATCGATTATCAATCTCGAAGACAATATTTTCGAAACCAAATTGCTGAGGATTGTCATCACTATCCATGCGAGCGAGTCTTGCCATTCGCGGTGGCGATGAGTTACGCCTGCGCGGATGCGTATGGGTGTGGGTCAGGGCGCTCAGGGATTTCTTGCGTGACGGCTTTACTGGACCAACGTGCTCGGAGCATAGTGTAGTCGTATCATCGGTAATGGTGTTGTCCTGCAGCGCATTGGTGATATCGTGCCCGAGTACGGAACTGATGTCATCCATGAGGCTTTCACCTGGCATGGCCTCCGTTTCGTCACTAGTTTCGGGGGAATCGATGTGTGTGAAGTTGCTCGCATCTAGGTTCTATAAATCAATGGGTATTTTGTAGAATCTTACCACACTGCTTTTTCAGGTAAACTTGCCTGTATTATATCGCCCAAAGTCTGAGCTGCCTCGTGCTTATCGAATATTTCGGAGGCCACACTGCACTCCTCGTTGCTAATGGCCGAAAGCACATCGCTCGCCTCGCCTGGCACGTCATCCGATGAGGACTGCTCCTGCTGAGTGTGGCAAAATGTGAAATAGATGAGTTATTTGTTGCAGTGGTAATGGGTGAGGGGACGTACAGTGTTGTTAAGTGCATCGGTATCGATAATGGTTAGGCTAGCGCTTGAGTACACATTTGGGGGGTTGTTGGGGGTTACGACAATGCCGGGTACCTGCAGATTGCTTGATAGTGCCGCTGCTCGTTGTGGCGTACACTTCTCCGTCATCGTGTTGTCCTCTTTCTCCTCGACTTCGATCAGGCTGTTGCCATCGCTTCCTGCCTCTGCTCCCGACTTTCGCTCCTTATCCAGCTCACGAGTCATATAGAAGGTGCGTTCAAATACTTCGATGGGTCGATAATCGGATAGAGGGTCCACAATGGGCTCGCCAGTAATTATGGGAACGCGTAGAAAGTCCACTTTGCGTTCGCCAGTGTCCGCGTTCAATTCGCCCTCGCTTCCAGGCGACAAACGATTGCCGAAATCATCAATGTTGGCTCCACCACTGAGCGAAAGGCGACCCATGCGGTAGATGGTCTCACCATTGGCGCCCTCTTCCATCTCCTGTATGACTTCTGGTACGCCCGAGCTGCGTCGGCTGTCGGCAAACTGTCGAGGAGCCGGCAGATTGATCGAATTGAAGAAGTTCTCATCCACAGAATCGCGTCTCGTTTCCGGTAATGGTGATATGCAGGTTAAGCGAGACGTTTCCATGGTTGGAGAGATGATATTAATGGGAGGTATAATAGGCAATGGGGAACTGCACGGTGTAGATTCGCTGGAGTTGTTAACCGGCAGCTTCAGAGCCTCAAACGGTGTAATGGAGAGTTTGCGTTGATAGCGCTTTGGTCGACCCGGTTCTGAATGTTCGACTACATTGTAAATGGCGCGCTTAACGCTATTTGCTCGGCACTGCAGGGCCTCCTTCTCAGTGGAGCGCAGAGAGCGGCTGTTCCGACGCTCTTTGGTATTGATGTGGTCCTTTTCGTTTTTCTCAATTGATATGTTGGGGTTTCTGTGGGATTATTAACGATATGATTACAACTCGCAGACTATATCAGAGCAAGGAGACTTACAGCAGCGATGGGCTTGAGTTCAGCGTTGTCGACATACTTCGCGCAATCAGACTGCTTATTGTGGCAATCAGATCATCGCCACTGTGGGCACCGGTCTCTTCCTCCTTCAGGGCATCAAGCAGCATACTCAACTTTTGACGCAATATGTCACACTTGATGGCTAACTGCTCGTCCTCCTTGTGATGCTCCGAAATGCGCATGACTAGCTCGTCGATTGTATCGCACAGGGTGCGGGTGGATGATATCAGGGTCTGAGTGTCATTTGTTTCCACAATGAAGCGAAGATGATGATTTGCCGAGGTCACCATGCCAGTGAGCAAAGCTTCCTGTTCCGTTGTTATTGACATTTTTGGGATTTTCGGCACAGAAATTGCCTTCTCAAAGACCATAATGCTCCAGCGATCCAGCATTTTGGTGCTGGCCGATTCATAGCGTTCGAGTATTTGAGGGAGGTGTGTGTCATCGTCACAGGAGGAGCCCCAGCCCAGCACGCGTGCCAAATCGTTACCAGTACCCAATGGCATAACCGCCACTTGGCATTGTTTCTATAAGTAGGATTGTATAGAGTTGTCGATGATCACTAAAGATAATTACTTACGTGCATGTTAAATCGATCGATTTCGCTTAGGACCCAGCCAACGGAGCCATCGCCAGAGCAGACGAGTATGCGAAACATCTCGAAGTGGCGAAAGAGACGCAAGCCCAGGCTGGGTCCCGTCGATATAAGATCAAAAACCTGCGCCGGATTCAACAGCTGCTTAAAGCGACGCAAAAACTTGACACCCTGATTATCGCCAGACTTGGAATTGACGAAGACGAGCAGTGGCGAGAAGTTTCCTTTAGGGCTGACCACATCCCAAGCATCATCATTGCTGATCGAATGCACACTGGTGGGTGGCACTACAGACAACTTAGCCGGCCCAATAGGACACGCCACGGCCATTTGAGGCCGACAGGCCACATGAACTGTGGCCCGGCACCACAGACAACGCCAGTCTTGCAGGCGCAGCACAGATCCGCAGGTTTTTTTGCAAACGCCACACACTGCTGAAACGGGAAGATTGCCCTCCATCCATTGATGCGGCATTATGATGCTGCCGTCGGGCTGCTCTATGATATCCTTGCCCACGGTGGCCAGCGTTGTCCACTTGCAGTTGGCTATGGCCTTCGCCGCACATCTCTTGTGCACCTTACACTTGCAAACCTCACAACTAAGACCGTGCGAGGTGACTCCCGAGAGGGCGTCCCGACACACATTGCAGTAGGTGGGTCGTGCGTGTGAAGTGGCATACCAGTGATGGTGGTTGGACAGTATGTCGTGCTGATCGATTAGAAAACTATCGCCACGAGGCCGTTGCGGCGTTGTGGCCGTTTTCAAGGAGCCCAGCCAGTCCTCCATGTCGCGGCGGGAATCGGCGCACAGCACCAGCGAACGGGTGGGTGTGATTATCTGCAAATACAGACAGACAGCAATACGTGCTAATTAGTTGTGTTATCAAATGAAGGATTAGTGTAGTGTACGATGGGATGAATATTTGCTGCTGAGAAAATAAATCAACACATGGGGAAACTTGCAGCTAAATAAACATTTTATAAAATGCTTCACGAAGGTCTAATATATTTCTAAAAATATTTTTTATCAGACACGTTAGCTTTACTAAAACTAATGTTATATACATTTTCCATTTACGAGTATGTTTTGGTAATATTCAAGATATGAATATACTTAGAACTCTAGTCTATTGTCTCGACAAAAAAAAAAAAAAAAAAAAATGGAAGCTTAAAATTTGTTTTTTTTTTTATAAAAATATATCCATATACTATAGTCCTTTTGGTCACAAATAATAAATGAAAGGGAGAGGGAATATTTAATAAGTACGAGAATTTATCATTAAATACTTGTCCGCGAAAAACATATATACGTCGTATTAGGGAGAGCGTGTTGCCTTTAGTTACATAATTTGTCTGCTGCCATTAACATGCAAATATGGTTCCATGTTAATGTTAATGCCTAGACGGGCGGGTGCGGCACGCGTCAACTAAATGCGCATAACAAAGCGACGCGCCCAAAGACGATTACACTCTCCACCCACCCAGTGGCTGCTCTGGAGCCTTTAACATTCCACACTAACACTCTCATCTACATACGCGCATACCATAATTAATATACAACCTTTTGGCTAGGATGCTCATGGCCGCAACTACAAACACAACTACATACAATAACTGGCTGGATTATGATGTTCGCTAAGCTCTCTTTAATTTATGGTCAGCGTGTCCTTAGAACACATCCTTGATGTAACCTAAACCATATCACCTTTTAGTTTTACTGCTGCTGGCATTGTAGCCACCTGCTCGTGCAGCCCCCTCGACTGCTCCCACAACCGGTCGGTCCTACATTCTAACATTCTTTCGCTTTTTGCGGTCAAGTTCATTCGTGTAATTGATGTCAAAAAGTATTTTATTAAGTTAATGAGCTGCCGCTGCGGATGCCACGGCCGTGCCCGGAGCAGCCTGCAGAGTTGCCTCAGTTATGAGTTTCAGTTTGTTGCTGTTTTTTTTATTTTTATATTATATCATGATTTTTTGTTCTGTTCTGGTCTTGTTCTTGGAGTGCCGCGAGCGTTGGTGGTCTCTATACTGAGGCCTGACATTGTTTGTCGAGCTCATGCTAAAGTTTCCATGACTACAAATTCTGCGTTTAATTAATGTATTTGTGTTAGCATTGGGTATGTTAGTTAAATAAAAATGGCAAGGATGTGGACATTTATGCAGCAATAGGTATAAAAAATTACAATTGTAAATCATTTCAAGTTCGTTTCAATGAGCTTTCAAATAGCACTTTACAAATTGAAGGAATGGGAAAATAAATAAATATTGCAGAAGGTTTTCATAACATATTTACATATATTATAGGGTATTTAAATTATTTTTATATTTTCCAAATTCCCCTAGCTTAAAAATAGTGCGTGCCACAGAAAATGTGTTGATATTTCGTCATTGAGAAAAGTGTCTGTTTTTTTTTTGTACTTAAATAGCTAAACCTTCTAAATTTGTCGTTCGAAGAAGCTTGAAGCCTAAATACGAAGTATTATCAAAGTATTCCCAAATAGTATTCTAATTATCGAAAATTGAAAAGCGAATTATAAATGTATTACGCATTTATAATCTACCATCTTATCATTTTATTGTCGTTTAATATTAAGCTGGTGTTAATAGTAAAATTTATAGTAGAATTTAATTAAAAAGCCGAAACCATTACAATGGTTTGTGCATTTTTGAAAGAATTAAAATTTTTAAATGGGCGATTGCGGTTGGAAAGGCACATATTTAAGCACAAAACCCAAGCTGTGGAAACCAAACCAGTCTGTCAATGACATGGAAATGCCATAACTAACTTCCACAACTGACCTCAGGACATGGTCGATAGCCATAATAGGAAAAACACAGGCATGTAATAATTAACATGCAAGTGACCTCAGCCAGAGCAGTTGTCTTGTTTGTCTCTGACAGCCACATCAAAGGAGGACTGAAAACACGGGCTGCTAAAAAAGTTTATTCAACAGTCTGCTGACGACATTATCTCGCCCCTGATGCACAGTGGCCGAAATGTTTGGTGCAATTGCATTAAAGCGGCCATAAATATAAAGTATTATGTTTCACATTCTAACAATTAAATATTTTTTAAATTTAAAAAAATATGAATAAATGAGGAGTAATTAAAAAGCTGATTGATTAATTTATTTAATACCCAGGTTTGCAAAACACAAATGGGCTTTGATGGGCCTATATATAGACATATTTATTAATGACCAAGTCAAGCCACCAAAAAAGTATTAAGTTTCGCTTTCTCTGACTACAAAAACAACATGTAAATTGCATTTTTTTCGCAATTAAGAGTTATGAGGGTGGATTAGGGATTTCAACCACTGTGCATTGGATGACGCTATTCAAAGCATTTAAGGTCTTCATCAATAAGTCATGGTTGCATTTCATAGAAGAGCCGTAGGAGTACAAAAAACGTATGCGACTGACTGACTGGCAAGCAACACAACAGGCGGCTATGACGTTGATTCTTCTCAATGGGCCGGCTTGGTTATTGACGTTGCCAATACCCTTGGCTTTGTGACTTTTACTGTTGTTGGCTTTTCCGCTTCTGTTCTGGATATGGTTGATGTTCAAAAGTGCTAAAAGCCAAGTCAATATAAGTTGAATGGATTGCTTTGATTGCAGTCACTTGCACAAAAAACTATACAGTAGGAGGGCTGTGAGGAAGTCAGCCAACTAATTGACTTTTAAACGCATTAATTACACAGACGTTTGCACTTTGGTATTCGATGCTCCATGTGGCTAAGTTAAGTCCACGGTATTAATATTCAACGTTGCAAATAATGCTGACCACCCCACAGTGTCCAACCACATGAGTGAACGGCAGTCTGTCCCTCCTTAGTGGTTGACAGGCATCAACGTCATACACCGACATTGGCTATCGGTTGAAGTTTGCGGCCTTTTTGGAGAAATGTACATATGTAGCCGAGTGCCTGCCCGCCTTGCACCTTTTCCCTGGTTTCATTTTCAATTAATGAAATGTAGAGCGGTCAAGCAGCAGAGGCATCAGTTGCACGTGTGGCCTGTCTGTGGCATTGGCAACATGAATTTGCTTTTAAGCTGGTGTGGAGCGTGTGTTGCAATTGTCAGTCACCAGCTGGCCGAGTCTCTTATTTCACGCTCCCGGCTTGCATTAGTATTCAACAAACATTTAGTATGTTAAAAAAAGTTTTTGCGTTTAATTTCCGCTTTAATTGGATTAAGTTTCAGCTGACAAATGGCAGAACTCTTCAGTTGATTTTATTGTAATAAAAGAAATATTTAATTATAATATTCAAGAAAATGTAAATGCTGACATACATTGAGCAGATTATTGTTTTCTACACATAGAACTACTTGACTTTATGTTAAAGAAAAATAAGTTATGATTTAAATTAACATATTTTTGTTATTTTATGATGAATGCAGTATAATTTTATTACACGTGGCCAAAAGGTGAGCTTGTACTGGCTAAATAAATATGTTAGCGATTTCATGGTTGCCTTTTTTCCTCATTTCTTTGTTTATTGACGAAGTAGAAATATAATTACAAACTGCAATTCAGCCTAATGCTTTGCATCCGGACCTTAGGCTATTTTACAAATATTTTCCAACTAATCACTTAAACCTCAAACCTTTCAGTAAGTAAAGACCATATATTAAGTCAGCGAATCCTCTTTGCAAATATTACTAAGAAATGAAGAAAGGAAAATATAAATTGCAGCTGCTACTGATGGTTTCAAATGTATTGAATACTGCGTATATTCCGATAAATGAAATTATATTCCATTGTGTTTCGTTTAATTTAAAATTGCAGTAGCCGGAATCCATGGCATTTGTTGTACACACGCTGCGTATACGCAACCTTTTCATATGAAAATTAATTATTTGTGATGCCTTGTACTTGGTATTCAACGTGCCATTTTACACTATTCAATCATTCAATTTGTCATAAAAAAGTGACGCATTTTCCAAGGCGGAAAGAGCGCTTCATTAATTTTTCAGAAATACATATATAGTTAATGATGCGTCGTCAAGAACGCCGACAAAATTTGCATGTATACGAGTACGAAGCTGAAGCAGCGCCAGTATTCATAAATATGTTTATTGAGTGTTATGAAATATTCAATCAATTTTGCGTCCGTTCTCCTTATATACTACATATATGGTGCCATGGCAAAGTAATAAGAAGACAGCGCCTGCATAGAGAGTGCCAAATGCACGTAACTACAAAGAGGGACGGTACTTAGCGACAGATGTGCCAATGCTCCCCATCGTCCCCCTTTTGTCATTCTGTGAACCTTTTATGTATTTAGAGCTTACTGTAGGTTTTGAAGCGAACCGCATCACTTTTCCCTTTGAGTGACATGTGTTAGTGAAGGAAAAGTGGAATCGGTTGTGTGTGCAGAGCCAGTGGATGGTGCCATAATGCCATTTTAGAGCTTAGGTATTTAAGAAATTTCAATTGCTTTTACTTCATTTTTAAATTATTAAGTAGTTTTTATAAAAAGGCTACATTTGTTTCTTTGGTTTAGTAAATTACATATATTAACTTGTATAGTCCCAGTTACAGCAGAAGTCAAACAGCTTCCAAAGCGCTCATTCATATTAATAACCTATTCATTCTCTAAATGTTAATGTTATTACAAATTAAAGGTGTATTCGCAAGAGCATCATAATAATCTTGTTTCTAACTACTATGCTTCTTTGCATATAAAGTATACATTAAGGTCGTATATAAATGAAGCTGTGCTGTGGAGGTATATATTTTGATGGCGTATTTATTCCAAAATGTATTATAGGAGCTCTTTACATTTGTAATATATATTGGTTGACTTTCTTATGTATATAATTTATTTTGAA